TTACCAGATGACAATCGTTAAATTAATTTATCAAATATTTTTTCATGCTCATGTTATCAGACTAAATTTTTTTCAGATCATGAAACGATGCTAGATATGTCAATCACTAAGTGCTTTTTGTTTAAAAAAGTAAATCCTCTTATATGTATAGTGACTATCTAACTAATTGACAGGATTAAATTTTTTTCTATGTAATTAATTTTTATTCGAACTGATGAGACAGCTTAAAAAAGAGCCATTCATGTTTCTATTCATTCCATTGAACTGATGAAATACAGTCTATCATGTATGCGAATATCTGAATAATAAATTTGTCAAGGAAGCATTTTATCCAATTCATTATTATAATAAAAACAAATCATTGAAATATGTAGTAGAACAAATGCTCTTGGATAGAATATAATGTGCTTCATTTCAAGTACATCGATCACTTTTCTGCTGTGATTGATGCACACTTTTAACAAGGTTTTGTTTTGTCACAACTTGACCTAGTAATGTAACAATTCATCTTGATAGCAAAGCATATTACAAATAGCCTTATTGATTTTGAAGTTATACATCTACATCACCGATAAAGATAAAGGCTGGATACTTCTGCATTGTTAATATGGATCCAGGGAAAATGAAAATATCTTTTATCAAACTATCACTGCACCTGAAGAACCTTGAGCATATTTCAGATAATTCCATGACTTTGTTTGGTCAACATTTGTTAATAAAACTTTTGTTTTAAACAAACTTATGGTAAACTAATCAATAATTTGTCTGTTCATTGTGGTACAAGTACTTTGGAATGTCAGAAATGACCAAGGTTATAATTTAAATTGTGACAATTACACATTTATAGTATTAGCAATTTAAACATTAGACAAAAAAATGAGACTACATCGTTATGAGAAAAAATATTCTTTGAATTAAATTTGCAGATGGGTCTTTTAAAATAAACGAGTCAAGTATTCCTATATAAAATATTTAAATACTTTCTGGTTTTTTTTAACAAGGTATTCAATGTTTTATATTTTTTCAACAATTAAAAATCTAACTATTTTTATATTTTTTTTTTAGGTCATCTGAAAAAAGGGCTTCAGATGCATATTTAATATATGATTTAATTTGAATCTCATTTTTAATATTTAATTCTACGTTTCTAATTTTTGTACTAAAATAAAACAAAAAATAAATAAAAATCCACAATTATGTCATATCCAAGCATATGTCATTCAAAGAAAAATATTTAGCCGTTCAAAGCTCTAATGAACTGTCTGGCTTCTACATGACAAATACAATTCCCTGGTCAATTTTAAAAATGCTATAAAAAATACAAGGTCGAATGGAAACAGCATATTGCTCTGATAATATTATCGTTTTCTTTCAAAAGTATCACTAAATCCGAATTCTCGGAATCTCCATTTGCGGTCATATCGAAAAGTCCCTGGGGTTAGGCTACTACGATCTGCAATATGTACTGGTTCGCTTATACCCAGTAATCGGAAACTCGTATTTCGATTATGTACTCAAGGGATTGCATTTCTTTGAATCGACGATTTAATTTAATATAAATGGTTTTTTCATGTAGAAATTGAATACCGCATTAAATGTAAACATTATATCACGTAAAATGAGTCATTGACGGATAGAATATTAAAATAAATTAAAAAGCAACAATTATATTGTTTTTGATTTGAGCAAAATAGCAACTATGGGATTTGGTTGCTTTCACAGTTGAAGTATACCCACAGGACAAATTGGATGAATGTCACGCATCTAGATAATTAATGACTTTAATTACTGTGTTTTCATTCGTGCTCATGGACTGATATTTCTATACAGTTGGACGAGTTGAAATTTTATTAATGAAAAAGTCGATGAACAGTCAGGACTGAATTCATCACAGACAAAGATTAAATATTAGTACTTGTATGATGTTTTATGTTCAAAACAAAAATCATAAGGCAGAGAATATTGTAATTTATTTTATAATGAACCAACTGCATGATTGTTATGTCGATTTACTTATTGTTTGCTTTTAACTTCTCTTCACAAATGAACATAATACAGACAAACTGCCTTTGATAATAGGCAAATCCGTATATTTAGTCATGTAAATTCAGATTATTAATCATATTCTATTGTTTGAAATATTTCTGAAATTTATACAGATAAATACTTGCACCAATTATTGATGGCAATACTAAATTACTAATTGATGAAATGACCTTTATGAAATGACAATAATGCATTTTGCGATTGATTAAACAGTAAATAATGATTACATGACCAAAATGATCAAGGGAGAATTAAAAAATAGCTTCAGTGCTTTTGGAGGTCATGTATCTATTATTCACATGATATAAACCTAAAAATATAAGGTGCTTAAAACGATAATTTATTGATACATTTAATCCAAGAGAGAAGTCCAAATACCCAAATAAACCCGATTACAGATGTTTATGATAGAAAATCCGGTCTAGAGACCACTTGATACGAACTTACAGATGCTATTCATATTCATATCGTTTATCAGATCGAATTGGAATTTTATACATCGACTGGAGAGAATAATATTGATAATATTAAGCCTTACTTAGGAAGATGTGCAAACCAGTATTAGCAAATAAACATCTTATGATGATTATTACATTTGTTTCTTTTTTTAGATTTACTTAGAGGATTTTCTTTTTTATCTAGATTCACCAGACTTTAAATCAGCAAAAAAGTTCCGTATGTAATGTGTACTTCTAGTCTTATTTTTTTTTCTTTCACTTTATTTTCCTGTTCAATGTTCTTTGTTTTTACTTATTAATTTCTTTTAAATGTTTTGTCTCGCTGATTATCATCTTAAGTACTTAACTTTTTTTTTCCATGTAAAGTTTCGAAAAAAGTTCTGTTGTAATATTACTGAGCTGAAGGATATTACATTAAGTAGTCCTTATAAATTCATTTTACGTTCAATCAATTTTTGAATAATCCAAGCCTATTTTTAGAATTATTTAAATAAACTTAATGACTGGAAGGGAACTTTTTGTTATACATAAATTCTAAACCATGTAAAGGAAAAAAAATTGTGACGAACATAAAATGAATTTTCTTCACTTTGCTTCGAATGGAAGAAAATTTTCTCAAGATTCATGCACCAATAGAGTTAGACCGCAAGACGAATAAAGTTACTCTATCAACTTCTATGACTCTTAAAGTATTCACGCCGAGGGATCTATTTCTTCTGGCACGAAGTCAGTTACAGCTAAGAATTCCAGACACTTTTTCACCTAAATAACTTATTTAGAAAATTCATTTTGAATTTTATTCCATTGAATATTATTTTACGTAATGATTCTTCCAGATTATAATTAGATTATAATTTCACAAATTGAAATTTTTAATAATTATTGATAGTTAAAAAGAAATAGAATAAAATTATATTTTAGTCGCAGAATGTTCCAGTGTTGAATTTAAAGCTGCTGACAATGTCTTGTAATATATAGTTTGTATCCTTCAGCTATGTATCTTGGGTTCTTGTTGACCAGAGTATTTTTATGGACAGTTGTCTCTTTATCATCTTGACTCTACATGGATCTTAATCTCAGCAAGTTTTTTCACAAAACAAAAATTTATAAGTTATCATGCCGCATTGCCACCGGCTATATGTCACCTTGCTAAGCAAAAAAGTCCCCGTGTTTATAACTATCTTTCAGAATTGCTAGCAGATTTGAAACTAAAATTAAAATCTGCATTTTATATGAAGTTTTCAGAAACCTTCCCAGTTCTACAACTGATTTCAAAACTCTATAAAAGTTTGGCAACTTATATCTCATTGATGGTTTCTTTGATTGATGAGTTTTTGAATACTAGTAAATGGTAAAGAAGTAGAGGTCTCGAAAGAGTTGATTATTTCTTTGATGTTACTTAGCCTGTATCTAAACGTAAACTTTAATATTCTTTGATATTTTTGTGTAACGTACATTGGCAAGTCTCCAGCACAAATGCTCATTGTAAACAGCTGACTAACGATGACATGGTCCCTTTAACTACAAACCATTATAGCCAAGCTTTTTATATTGAACTATATTTACGATCAAAAGCAGCCATCAGCAATTAATGAATGAGTACACTGAGCCTGCACTTGACACCAAAGCCAACCAAAGATAAGACGTGTTAGGAAAGCACCTGAAGTAATGGTAAACGACAAGTGTCTCCAACTTACAGTCTACAAGTAAAAAGATCATGAAAACTTGCTATTGTAATTTATTTGATTTATGTCAAATTATTATGTCTTTATTTACCAACAATAATTAACAATTCTATTTTACTAAATGTAAAAACAATTTTCATGCAAATTAATGGTATTATTCATGAACAAAATAATATTTATAATTTATTCCAAACTTTAAAGTGTGATAAAATTAATGGACACACATTATTAAATAGATGGGATGGGTTATGCAAGTCATTTTCATAATAGAAAACATTTTGAGTTATTATTAAGCTTCTAATTAAGTTTAAAATCAAGAGTTTAATACTTTTCGAGGCTATTCTCTGATGAAACTGCTAGTATCTCCATTCTTCTGACATCTCGTAGAACACTAATTGCAACTCAAGACTTAGATAGTGATGATGTGTTGAATTGAGATGGTAAGCAACCTCTTTCCCATAGCAATTTCGTTTGAAATTACCACCACCATTTTCAAGCTGAATTGAAATTTCATGAGATAATCTACTTTCTATTAGACTGTAGAGTAGATATGAAAATATCAAAAGTCAATTCGTTCATTGAATTATAACAAAATTGATTATTTTCGATCAAAAAATCTCATATCTGTTTGAGACGACGCTCTCGATATTGATAAGAAAATTGAATATAATAGTAAACCAAGTGTAGTGTCGTCAAACGGAAATTAAATTCATGCTCGGAGAATTCTTTTTAGAAATTCACTAGTCTTTTTGACAGACTTTTTTAAGAATTATATTCAAGTAATTTAAATAATTTAACAATTTTTTTTCAGGTGCTATATTCACTCATGACCAAAAGGATAGCAGCACGGAGCTGGCCTTCAAGTATGCCGTCTACAAAATCAACAAGGAAAAACTCATTTTACCAAAGACAAATTTGATTTATGATATCCAGTATGTTCCGAGGGACGATTCTTTCCATGCATCAAAAAAAAGTAAGTAATATTTAATGAAAAATTTGAGCATCTTCCTAAGCCAATTACTCGACTAATTTTTAAATATTAAAAAAATAATGCGATTTAGATACTTTTCATTTAATTCTCCAATGTTTAAAGTCAGTAGTAACAGGATTATCTTGGTAACATAATGAATATTCCATATTACATATTTATTTCATTTTAGTTAAGCTTACTTTTACCATACTTCTTGGTGATAAGCAATAAAAAATATGATTGTCAAGTAAAAGTAAAGTTTAATCTAGACAAACGAGTTTGTTTTCCATTGTAAAAATTCTTTTCATAAATACTATTTCTTACTTGTTTAGTTATAATTCAACCCTCTTAAAGAAAGTGGTTAAGAAAACCCAGTAGTGGTAAGAGGTGTTACTTTGAGGAAAATTTATCGATATACCATCTAATCCACTTGGATAACAGGGTGTCCCAACAACGCAATAGCCGTATCTACCTTCCGAGTTCTTGTTCAGTTATACAACCCCTGTGGTGCATTATTATCAAGCTCAATATTAAGCGTTTGCGGTAAGCCTACTATCCAACTTTATAATTTTACCCAGGAAATACTGTTTTTGAATTAAAAGTGACTTCTTTATGACCCAATGAGATTAAACATGTCATTGTTAATTTGTTTTTCGATTCAACTGAAGCCTATTTCCATAATTATCTAGTTTTTTAGCATCTGTTGGAGATGATTTAAAAGTTGGAATACGAATTTCTGATTATTTTCATCAAAAGATTCTTCAGCCAAGTAATAAGTAAGAAAGTTCAACAAATAAACTGGAGGATGCTATTACAGACACAATCAAATACGTTGGGAAAAAGTTTTTTTTATGACTATTATTATTATTCGAAGGATTCTTTTTTATGAAAATTATACTTTGATTTCTATTATCTTTCTTTTTATCGATAATAGGAATTCTCGAATGAAAAGTAATGTAGGAAAAAGCGATTTTCAGTTATATGTCAGATAATCATAAAAGAGAGTTAAATTGCCATGAAAAAATCAACCATTATTATCTACTATCTTGAATGTTATCGCCCTATGCTAGATAACTTCATAACTTTACCTTCATACGATAACTGATAACCTATCACATTCGATTTTTTGAGATATCGAGACGGTATATTGAGTATATATCAACGACTAGCACAAAGCTCAAATTTTTCCTTCAGCCATTCCAGTGCTGTTCATCCACTTGATTGTGCTAAAACTTCAGCTGATTTTTGCGAACTTTTTTGGAAAAATCAATAAAAAAATGATTGTGAAACTTCAAGCGTGTCATAATTTGTCTAAACTGTGAACAAACGAGGATTGAAGTTAATCCTAATTGAAAGTAGAATTATTTTAATTTGTATAGATATTTTTTCATTATCAAATAAGTTTAATTAATTTAAATGTATTTTAACTCTTTTTTCAGTAATTATTATCACAGAACTGAAATTATGTTAATTATCAATAATTCCTTTCACTTTTGACCTAATTTCAATCACATCCGATGTCCTAATTATCACCTCGATGAAGTTACTAATTACAAGAGGACAGAGATGCGTTTAAAACGTCAATTCTTTTTTTTTAATTAATCAAAATAACTAGATTGAACTATCAAAGTTTTTCCAATTATTTTCTAAGGATTGTTATTAATTAAAAAAATTATTAAACACATAGACTATTGTGATATAGTAATAAATTCGTGTAATTATTGTCCTATGATAATTGAGTTTTTTATTTTCAGTCAATTCGAAAAAATGGATGCAATCAATATTTTTTTAACGACAATTCAGTAATGGAAAACAATTTTAAAGCAAGTAGAGGTAATAAAGTCCATTTGATGGCCAGTTTTGCTTTTGTATGGATTGAAGGTATGAGGGGATCCTTTGAACTCACTTGTAACTGACAGTAAATTCGCCACCGCGTGATGTTCACTCAATCAAAGTAATTACGCGTTAAATCTCTTCTCTCCAATGAAATCTAATCACATGCAGTGCCTCCCCCCCTCTCTCTCTTTACTGTAATTATTTTAAAGTTTCTTGAATTCAAAATGAAAATAATAGATTACCATTCTGTCAGCATAAGTTTAATAACTGAGACGCAAATAATGACCATGATTTTTTTTTGTACTTTACATCTTTCTTTTATTTTTAATGATTTAAGAAGTTTCTTAATTAAATAAACTTTAAAAAATAGAAGTGCTGATTTTATTGGAATCTGAAAGATATTTTAAAATAAAAATAAAATATTCTTCACAAAACAAAAATTTATTTGTCTCTTTCTTGTGATTCAAAAACGATGTAAGAAAGAAGTTTTCCAAGACTTTTGTTTGCAAGGTAGTTCATTTCCACTTCAGTAAATGGAATAGCTTTAGGATGAGTAAGTCGGTGGTGGTCGTTGTGAAAGCATCTTATTTCCTGTGAACTCGTACAAAACCGTCTTGATCCAAGACAAAAGTTTTTTCCTCCTTACAAGACACCTCGAATTTCCGATTGAAAAGAAAAAAAAAAGTATTTTTTCCTAATGGTGAATTTTTTATCCAACGATTAATGGCACTTGTTTTCAAATACTTTCCTGTCGAATTGAATGCAAAATATGTCCTTCTTATTCCAAATGGACAGTTTTATTTGATAAAGTAATGAAAAATGTTTCCTCAATATCAATAATATATGAGCAAAATACAAAAAAAGATTTTCAATTCATAAATTTCTTCTTTCTCAAAAAGATTGGAAAATATTTTGTATGCTACAATCTCTAAATAATTACAATTATTTGCTGCTGAAAAAGTTAATTCACCTAAAAAAAGATCAATTTTCTAGAATTATACAAACGAAAAAAATACAAATGGATAATAATACTAATTATTCATTTACAAACGTGAAAAAACCATGTGTTTTAGAATGAAAAGAGCAATAAGAGTTTGCTATAGTAATTTCACTTTTATTCCAACATGGGTGTACTTAGGAGTACACGATAACCTTTAACAGCTTGAAGGAAGACCGTGTCGATGAAGAAGTACGAAAGGTCCTTAGAAACTCTCCTGACAAGTGTTTCATTCCACTTCACCGCCTACCTCTGTTATCACGTTTATCACAAATGCGATTCTGCTCAAATATTTTATACGAACGTAGAAAGGACACATAAACTCCTTGCACAATTGTTTTTTAAATATATATTGAGTTTTTTATTCCTTCCAAGGAGTGAATTTTATCATGCATTGAGAAATATTTTATAGTAAATAATTAGATTGTTTTATCGGAAATATTTAGTTTAAGTAATCAATCGTTTCAGCAATAATGAATTAACTTTTTTTAAGATTTACTTTTCTATTTAATTCAAAAACTTTGTTGAACATCGAAAACAATCGTAATGAAAGAAGTTATTCTGAAATAAATTTTATGAAACAAATTGAAGTAATTCAAACTTCCATTTACTTCAGTGATACAAATTAAAGCAAAAGACTCCTTGAGTATTTGAAGCCAGGATATTTATAGACTCATTACGAACACCTGAAGACAATAACGACGATACTATAAAGTGCAATAATTTAAATTTAAAAAAATTCATTCAAAAAAATTTCGCAATTTATTTTCTAATTAAATTGATGATGACTAATATTCGAATGTTTTCTTATGTCAAAATAAAATGAAAAAAAGAATAATCTATTATTCTTCAGGATTGAAGCAAATTTTTATAGACTGCCTTTCAGCTTACAAACTACTCATGCATAATAAAATTCAGCTTAAAACTTTCACGATTGAACAGAAGAAAGGTATTTTTTCGCATCATCGTTTCATGTAATAAATATTTTCGACTACGCTTAAAACTATTTAAATGTCTAAAAAAATCCTTCATATATTGCATTAAGGGGGAAAAAACAAAATCCTTGCGGGAAATCACTAACTTCCGGCGTCACACATACGGGATCCAATACGGTCGTCGTCTTGGCAACGGCAACGTCGACGGTTAAAGAGATTAACTTTCCTATTTATCTCGGGACATTTGCCATCAGCCGCGAAAAGTTTTTTACATCTCAACGCCATAAACAAATCTCTCCGACTCCCAAACTGGCTTCCGTCCATGTCAGTATTTTTATATTTTTTTCGTCTTCAACAATCGCATTTTTTCTGATTGTGTTGCTGATTTTTTCGGATATTTTTATTAGTATATTCTATTTCTATCAGTTTACTTCCATGGGAAACCTTTATAGCTGTCATAATCTCTGCTCACATAAAAAGACATTTATATTTTGGAAGATATAAATTTTCGGAAAAACTAATCTCAGTTTTCTAAAAACACCCGACTCAGAGTAATGTACGAAATAAATAAAATCAAGTGTACATGCTTGTAGGTACATGTAGGTGCGGATGTGTAGTAAAAGTAAAATCATATATCATTTTTTTTATATCGTCGAATAAACGAAATAATCTTCGAAAAAGCTCAAATCCGACTGTGTAAAAAAAAATTTACAGTTTCTGCCACTTTTGGGACTTTGATGAATCGATGGATTTTAAAATCATTGAAGTTCGTGCAGCCAATCGGAAGTTACAGGTGCACAAAGGCATGCATAAACTCACAAACAAATATTACGTTCTAACATAATACCTTCGATTTTATTTAGTGAGATGAAAAAAATATTGGCCATCGTATTTCTTTTTTATTTTTTACATCAAGACAATAATTATACTGTTAATTATCACATTTTAACTGATTTAAAAAAATTATTTATTCAAATATACACAAATAACGTACTGAAATAGGAAAGTATTCGATTGTATCCTTCGTTTGTATTCACACAGCATCTAAAGTAATTTAATTAATCAGAAACAGTTCCAAGTATCGAAGTAGTTTATCGAAATCATTTACTACTGTCAGTAAATATTTAAAAATCACGAAGTGTAACTTTTCTCAAATTCTGTCTTGAGATGTGATTTGCAATCATTTAGATGGTTTAATCTTAAATGAGCCACGTAAAATAGCAAGATCATGTATCTCAAACATCCTCGTTGTCGTGAAAGCTTTTATAGCATTTGCAGAGGCACATCAAGACGGAGTAGACTGTCTTGTTCAATGACTGCGTTGTTTGAGAGTTCCTTGACGAAGATGAAAGGTCGAAAGTGATTGACGACTATAAGACAGGCGAGCACTTAAATAGCAGAGAAGTGCCTTAGACTCTGATTCTTTTTTCAAGATCATTTTCGATCTGCTTTCTTCGGTGCTCTTGAGCTTATGTTCGATAAATTTTCAATCACTTCAAATTTTTAAAAATCACAGTAGATTTTTTAGTAATTAAAAAATGCATTTATTGATAAAACAATTGAATAAAAATATAAATGAGAATTTCTTACAGCTTGTCAGCAAGTTAAATTTGGAGTCCAGGCAATTTTTGGCCCCTCGGATCCGAAACTTGGTCAGCACATTCACAGTATCTGCGACGCATTGGACATTCCACATCTGGAAGCCAGGGTGGATTTGGACTCAGAAGCAAAAGAATTTAGTATCAACCTTCATCCCGCACAAAATTTGCTCAACTCTGCGTACCAGGATGTTATGAAGTTTTTAAATTGGACTAAAGTAGCAATTGTCTATGAGGATGATTACGGTAAGTTTTTTTTTTAATTATACGACTTCTTAGTAAAGAATAAACTTTTTTAAAAATAAAAATCGTTCATTTCTTCTTTAATCGGATAAACATGATTGATATCAGATAAAAAAAAATTCTCTATCATATAATATGTCGAGGAGTGATCGAAAGCACGAGCTACAACAATAATTTATATTTAAGTGCATTAAAAAGAACGATTTAAGATATCTGTATGATGTGAGCAACTCCCTTCTTATTTCTGTCATTGCCATTTTCAATAATATTCATAGAAATCCCTATCTAAAGATATTTTATCTTCAGAAAGACTGTCATAAGAAGCTATGAATGTAATATCTAAAATGCAACTCCTAACATGAATCCATAATATGCACTTCATATTTTGAAGACTTCAGGAAATATCGGAATATAATTCATCGAGCAACTGGCACTTTAGGTATCATCCATATCACAAGCATGTATTGCTGTAATGACATTGAAATTTTCTACTCAATAAAATAAATATTTTTACTCACTGCACAAAGCAGCTTCAAGTGTCAGGAATAAATATTATCGGTTCATTTTTCTATGAATATTAATTATTTTTCCATTTAATGAATATTAACTTAATTATGTAGTTTTTATCAACTTAAGATATAATTTATCAATTAAAGTTTCTCTGATGTCGACTTTCACTAATCCAATTATATTCACACTTTACTAATTGTTTCTTTGTTACCACAGTCTACCTTTACTTTTTATTCACTATGCTTTGTAGTCATTTTAATTTATTGATTGAATCCTTGAATGAAATAAGCTGCAAACTTTTCTGAACTTCCTGTCATTAATTTTATGATAAAAAGACCAAATTTGCATGTAGAAGAAATTTAATGCTAAAAAAGATCTTAAATACTTTTGACATTTTCTTCAATTCAATTTAAATTTTTTAGCCGTTCAACATCTCTGATAATAAATTATGTTCTTTAATATTTTACAGAACAATAAACATTTCAATCTTGTATTAAAATTTCAATTAAATTATATAATTATTTACTGTGATTTTTCTCTTCAAGAAAAAAATTCAAGTGTATTTCTTGAAGTCTTAACTGTTCACTTTAGACATTTTTCATTCATTGATTCATTAGAGATCTTCTTGTGCATTGAAGCTGTCGTTACCTAAGAAATGGATAGTCCATTTATATATTTAAACAGTAGACTCTTTTTCTAAAAAATTTAATAAAAAACTATTGTAGCTCATTCTTCACTTTAACATCATCAGTATAAGTCTATTGGTATAAAAAGTTTCTTTGAAATATTCTTCAAGTCTTGTTAAGTCAGTGAAGCATGGCTATTTTACACGATCGTTAGCAAGACGAGAAGCATCGTTATTTATATGTGTCAAACAGGATTACTGTTATTATCACTTGATTGATATTTAACGAAAATTTTTTCATTTTAAGCTTTTGAAATTCAAGTAGAAATCCATTTTTTTCTCAAAATCATTTACTATTATAGTTAATTTAATTTCATATCTTCCCAGAGAATTTAAATGAAGTATGATGGGTATCATGTTCAAGGGTTTCATATACGTAAAAGTAAGTAATTACTATTCGAATGATTACATATTACGTAAATGTTGGAATGTATCCATTCAATTGATATTAATCCATTATGAAATTAATTGTCATTATAGAAGTTGTAAAAGCTCGAAATTCCCATTCAGCATTCATGTACTCTTTAATTGCACTGCGATATTAATTCAATTTTACTTTATAATTTATTTTATTACTTTTTTAACATTGTTTGATTGATAGTCTTAATAATATGCAGGACAAGAAAACAAATTGGTAGCGAAGGCGACATAGATCATAACGTATATTACTCTTTAAAGAAAAAGTGTCGAACGATATGAAAAAACTTAAAATCATAAAAAGCACAGCTCGAATATATGGCACAATTTGTCTTCAAGTGTATCAGAATTTGGAAAGTTCGCTTGCTAAGTAATTTCGATTATTAAAAAATAAATAGATGAAGATGATGAAGTTGTTAAATATATTATCTACGGTGATGTACGTATACTTAAAGGTTAAATTAACTTCAAAGGGAACTTCATTTAATAAATGGAACCATATGTATGCACCGTGATGAAATATGTTTATTTGTATATGTAAATACATAAGCATATGTATACATGTACATAGATCATGGGAAAATGGAGAGTTGAAGAGAATGTGTAACGTTTGTATGGATGGTTTGATTTATTTATTTGATTTCCACAACTCGGTTGAGTAGTGCGAATGTATGCACAAACGTCTGCACAATGTTTACTCGAGCTGAAGCCTCAAGATCTCTAACAACTGAGCCGTATGTGTTTTTCAATCTTCAGGATCAGCTGGTGAGATTGTACTTTACAGTTTTATACTATTGAAAAAGGGATATAACAATGAAATAAATCTATTCTATCTCTCATCAATAAATCATGGATAATTTCAATCCGGTTCAAGTTTTTATAAGTTTCTTTATTAACAATCTTCATATTATTCTTAAAGACTATTTACTCAACTTTTATTCAAACACTTTCCAAAGTTTTACTTCATCAAATGACTTGAAAAATCTGATTTTCTAAGAAAAAAAAACTAGTTAAAAAAATTAAATCTATTATTGAACATAAATGTAATTAATTGAGAGATTTTTCTACATGAATAAAAATAATTGCGAGTAAAAAAAATAGCAACAGATGTATGCAATAATTAAGTTGAAATTATTTCAGTAACAAACTCGTCAGAAAATTTTGCATAAATGTATAAGTCTTGAAATATTTGCATACGATATGAATCGTAGGATTATCGAACTTCAAGAATCTCATATGTTGTTGGCAATGCATCGGGAGACGAATTGAATTCACAATGCATCTTCTCATTCTACATAGTAAATTCCCGAATATCATTGTAGTAGTAGTTGCTTTTACGGTGCTATTTCCTACCTTCTTCATGCCATAATATATTATATATGAGTTTATATTCGTATATATATACACAGTACACATACGCTTTTATATCTATACATACCTAACACTATTGTGAAGGAAGAATGTCGTAGATTCACGATGGGCCACAATATTATTACCGAATTCTTGACGTAGACGTGACGATAGCATTAAAGTAGCTGCAGTTTTGTTGTCCTGTGCAACCCCGTCCAATTCTTTACTCTTACGCCTTGTGAATCATCAATGAACTCTTATCCGCCCTATTACCGTCCATTGTTGAAGATCACAGCCCCCTTGACCAAACCACTACATGCTGAGCCCAACGACACTATTATTATTTTTTTTTTTTTTTAATTTCTAGTATACATTCAGACGAGGATATGCAATTTATGAGAAGCTTAGTAGAATATTTACAAAATTTTTTTGGCAATAAATAACAGGATTTCAAATGTGAATAATTTTATTCTTGCATTTTATTCAGAAGAATTTAAATAATCCCCAAGACTTCCTAGCATTTAACTAACTTTCCGGTTCTTGAATCATTGATAATAACCATCTATTAGTACCATTAGTACTTGAATAAGTACCAGAAGGTCTCTGAAGAATAATCCTTGAACTAAATTCTAGATTATAGTATTTATATTTTAAAATAATAATGCTTTACAATTTTAATTAATTTTCGAGTTATTTTGAAATAAATATATAAGTGGATGAGATAGAAAATAATATTGTAAAATATTTGTATGTCGCCATCTAATGACTATTAGACTAACGATGGTTTGTTAGTTAACGACGATTGCTTGACGATTAGATTGTTTATAGCAACGAGGGGAGAGTTTGTTCATCTCCAGTTTTTGACTGAGACTTGAGTTGACCGCACGGATTCTTTTTTTCTTATTAATTGCTGTCAATCTTTAATAAACCTTTTCATTATTATTTAATTTTCCGAAGTTGTTATTTGTTCTTATTTTACAATATAATATCTAAAAGAAAGAACTGTTTTCAATTTAAAGTATAAGAAACAAAGGTAATGAAAATAACAATAAAAAGTTAGAAATGGTAGACTTAACTAACAAATACTATTGTTACACGAGAGAAGACATTATTTTCTTTTACAAGTAACCAATCAATAATGTTTTTTTTTTCTTGTAGACTTTTTTTAAGTTAAATGGACGATTCAGCCAATTATCTGAGATGTCCTCCTTAATGCGAAAATCCTGACAGAGTTGAATTTATTGAATTTACCAAGTTCGTGTTTACGTTTATTTATTGTCATCATCACCGCCCTAAATTCCTCAGCAGAAGTTTTTTTCCAGTTCATTGTAACCACTGGTTAATTTTTTTTTGTCCAAAAAAAAAGTAATTGAATCGTGCATCATATTCTATTGTTTTTTCGTCAACAAGCCAATAAATTTGATGATTGATAGTGAAATAAATCAAATGTTTATAATCAATCTATCTATTCCAACTGGCGTGAGACAAATTTAGCACTTGACAAGAGATGTTGTCGACCCGTTAGGAATTTAACTCATATGTGAAGAGGAGCATTAAAACATTTCTCTAATTAGCAATTAGGAAATTTCCTATTAGCTGGAATAATACACTCAGCTTAAAAGTTAGCTCCAATAAAATTCCTAATACATATGCAAGTATTTCAACAGAGTTATTCAACCAACGAGGATCCATTATCACTTTGCAGACCTATATGAACTACTTTCTAGTATTTTTTAGTCAATTTACAAATAATTCCAAAGTATTGAATTACTTGAAACTTAAATAAACTTTCTCTATCAATTATTATTATTACAAAAAAATTGAACTGATTAAAAAGTAGATAAATTTATCTAGCAAATAAAATCTAAGAAATACAATATGCTTCATTAATTTTTAATTATCTCCAGAACCAAACTATCATCTTTTGTGATCAAACACTCTAGAGTAATCTCGTTGCTACTTTCGTGTCGAACTAAGTCACAGTTAACAGGGAGTATTTCTCTGAAGCGGAAATACCGATTAGCGACATCGTTCTTAAGTCACCAGGGAGTCCTAAGTTCGATCAAGTCTGGAAAAAAATAAAATATCGAAGTGGTAGATTGTAGATGCGAATTCAAGAAAGGCGAAAATGGGTAAAGCAACATCGTAGTGACCAATTCTCGATGGTGTCACTCCTAAGGGAAAAAGTAGAACACTCTCTAGTTACTGAGTAAACTACATCAAAAAAGGTAAAGACGAAATCGTCCAACTGGGAAGACGAAGACCCGCAAGTCGAAATGATACCTTGATTACTCAGGCACCAATGCGTCGACGTATCGATTTCATTGGGACGCTCGCGGTTCATAGGTTTCTTTAACATTTAACGATCGTCTCAGTTTCTTTCTTTCCAACCTCTACATCTATGCGATGAGAGTGTTAACCAGTTAAACCTTTTTCGACACTATTCTTACAATACAAATGAAATAACCTTCAAAACTTTTTTTTCTTTCTTTCAGGTCTGATAAAATTACGAGAGTTAGTTAGATCACCCAAGACCCGTGAGATTGACGTATATTTGAGGCAGACCGATCCAAACTCCTATAGACAAGTCCTGGCTGAGATCAAAACCAAAGAAATACGTAACTTCCTTGTTGACACTAAGCCAGAGCACATGCATCTCTTTTTAAGGATGGTATGTTATTTTTATTCCAGGTAAAATAAACCTCTCTTATTCCTTTTTTTATTTCACTTAATTCTACATCACTCACATGTTACATTAAAGAGCAGCCATATATTTATTTTTCTTTTGTTTAATTCTAATTATTTAATTTGTTTATTTAATAAAAAAATATTTATTTTCAGATACTCCAATTACAAATGAATGATTACAAGTATCACTACCTCTTTACAACTTTTGTAAGTATTGAAGGTATTAAAAGCTAAGCCAAGTATAGAAAAAAAAACAATATCAGATGAAATAAATTTAATTCTCATATTGATCACAGGATATTGAAACTTTCGATTTAGAGGACTTCAAGTACAATTATGTGAATATCACTGCCTTTCGATTAGTCGACGCTGATGATGCTGGAGTCAGAGGAATTTTGCGAGACATGGAACGGTTTCAACCTGCTGGAAATACTATTCTCAACAAATCACGTGTTATTGAGGTTTGTCATTGATATCTAATTTCTAATTTTTTATCTATTATTTTTATGTCAAGGTCTAATGAAGTTAGCACAGCTTATAAGTTTTGTCTGAATAGATTAAGGTCTTCTGTCTGGAGTATTTGTAAAAATTTCTTGAATAATTGGAAAATAGCCTAGATAATTTTGATCAATTGTTACTTTAAAACCTATCGATTGGCATACCAGCTAGTGGCTAAATGCGGTCAAGTCTTTCTTGAGGTATTGGTAAATATACTTTCATGATAGGCAAACAAATTTTATATTGATGATTTTGGAGAATATTAAAAAAGGTCTGATCGATTTGAGCAATTATGTAGTCCGTTCTTATATCTAGTAAGATCTAAATTCATTAAATATGACACTCAACAAATTAACTATTCAAAAAATAAGTAAAACAAAATTCTGCAGTCGTTGGCAATTTTTGGTATTCACTTTAAAATTAAAATGTCGATCATTTTTGATTGTTATAAGATTAATCAATCTACCACGATACACATGTAGAACACGTGCTCACTTTGGATTCATCTAATTTGCACCCTTCGTCAGATACACACAAAGTTAGTAGCGTACGAAGTGTGCATATTTGAGCGTAAAGATTTTCAAGCTAAATTAATGAACATGATTTTAGTGAATAATAATTTGAGGTCATATTAATATTGCTATTATATTTTATTTTGTAGTTTCAATTGGACAGATTTAGTCAAATGAAAAAGCTATTCATTAAAAGATGATGTCTACCCACCGTTGATGTAGAAAGAATATTTTTTTAATGTATTCCAGCAATATTGTGAACGATCCTAGTAATACTTTAAGTTATCTCATTTTTATGTTGTATTTTCGTTAGTGTAATTGGACTTTTTTCCTAAGTCTTTTATTTCTACTCGAGTTAAACAAGCGTATAAGCCAACAGGAAAAATAGCAGAAAAAAAAGATCGTCACAATCAACGAGAGTTGAAGAAAGAATAGTAGTATTGGTGTGAGGTAAAAAAGTTGGCAAAATGAGCAGTGTGCGGCAGAAAAGTGCACACGATGAAACGGATATAGTTCTGCAGACAAGGCGTAGTATATATAATCATCATTCAAAAGTTTCTTTACAGTGATGTTAAGAATACTAAAAGAGACGAAACGATTGGTGCAAAGTATAATGGATGAGAGTGAAATCAAAAAAAGTAAAGAAATTTAACAGAAAAAAAGAGACATAAAAAAAAACAGAAAACTTGTTATAATAGTATAGAATACTGACTTGAATACTGATTCACTTCACTTACCTATGAACATCTTTCGTATTTATTTGTACGGCATAAAAATATTTCGGAAAAGGAAGAAATAAATCTCTTTATTTAATCTAAGAGGTTCTTCAAGATCTTTGATCAAATTCATTATCAATATAAATAAAGCCTTTCCAATTTTTTGCTCAGTCAGATTTTCCCGCAGATTTACATCATCATAACGATAAATCGTGGGTTTTTATTTTAGCAAATAAATAGTTCGTTATAAGAAATAGAAGATTATACAAAAAATAAAAAAGAATAAAAAATAGTAAATAAGAAATAACAGCAAAAAACCAAATAATTTTATTTTTAATATTAATCAAAATTTAATTATTTATTATATTTTTTTAAAAGTCTGTTGAGAAAATGATTTTATTGATTAAAGAAAAATTTTCTCAGTAGAAAAAATCAACTTTGTACCAACATTTATTAACTAATAAAAAAAATTTTTTACTGCTAATGGTATGAAAAAAGGAGAAGCAATGAAAATATTCTTAGGTATGTCAAGTTTCATTAAACTAATGTTTAAAATAATTAAGATATTCGGATTAACAAAAAAAAAGTCACTTAGCAACGGCGGACTAAAGCCAAAGTCTCACTACTCGTGATGCAGACGCAGTTACCAATGAATCACCGAATTTCCTCTCGACTCGGTGGATAACCTCTGGGCGTTTGCATCATAAATCACACTATCTTGCACTCGAACTAGTGGTTTTATTATTTTATTTGCTGCGTAGAGTATATAGTCATCCAAAGCAGAGTCAACGAAGGATAAAACAGACTAAGAAATAGTGCGGATTCTACATTCAACAATCAACATTGCACCTTTCCACAAAAAACGGCAAATTTATTACTGATTATATTTACTAAACTTCTACAAACGGTTGGGTAAAAAAATTTGACTAAGTTAAAAAAAAATATATGTCAAAAAGATAGAAAAGAAATGGAGATCTGAATCAAGATCCAAGAATCAAATTTCCATTAAATCTTTACATTTCAAGATCTCTATCATCAATCCAGACAGAAGCATGTATGTATGTGTACCTATAAATGTACGAATCTAGATATCTAGGAAATTTAAAAGGATTTATTTTGCTAGTCAATTTTTTTACTCATTTGAGAGCAATTCAGATCTAATAAGATTTGGAAATGAATGAAGTAACTGGTCTTGAATTATTTTCAAATAAATTTCAATTTATCTGTCAGGGGAATTAGTTATTTTCCATGTATTTTTAATGAGTAATTTTCTTATTATTATTCATTTATAAAAATGAATTTTCTTCTAAAAATGGCAATTTATTTGAAACACTTAATATACAACAAAGCTACTAATGATCTCATCTAATGTTTTGAAGTTTTTCATTATTCAGCATTTCGTTCTAAATGCTAATGCTTTATTTGTATAGCATATGACGAGAAAAATGTATAAAAGAGCATAAGAGAAGCTTATGCAGTGGATACATTCCAACCGTCTGAACAAATAACACGTCTGGAAGGATACACGTATCTAAAAGCAGTGAATTTTCTTGAAGTCGAATAAAATTGAAAATAAATTTAACAATCCGTCCAATCATACTACAATGAATTAAATTTCAATATATTTTATTTGTGTTTGTAAAGTTGTTCAGTGTAAATAAAAATCCAAATGTCACATTAAAAAGAATAAAAGTATCTGAAATACAACTAGTTTTCTCAACTGTACGCAAGAATTCACACAAACTTTCAATGAAGTTACGGAAAATTTGCGGCTAATCTTGAATCCAAGACCTACCCACTCGATGCTGTTAATGTTTTCCGCCAAGCCAAATACCGTCTCGTAAATTTAACAAACTATTTTCTTTCTCACTTACTCTTTCTTACACTTCCTTTTCTTTTTCATTAGCTTGAAACTATATAATAAAACGTTTAAATTTCTTAAGTGCTACTATCGTGAAAGCTACACAGTATTTTGTACTCCCTTAAAAAATAAATCTCTAAATGAGCTTTCTTGTGAAAAACATATCATAATTTTCTTCTTCATAAAATCTTGTTTAATAAAAAAAAAATAAAAATCTCAGGTATAACGTGTGTAAATACATTTCGTTCAACACAAACGAATAGAGTAAATCATAATGAAACAACAAAATTAGGGCAAGAGAATTTGATTTAGGAAAAAGTTAGTCAATTTGGCTTTCCTTTCTTACTCAGGAAGTTTTTGCTTCCGCAATGTTCTTAATTTATTTCATACATTAACGTATATTTTTCTAGATTTTTTAGAATAAATTTCAAATTATTTACCATTCATCTATTAAACATTACTGTTAACTATAATTAATTATAATAATAAAAAGAAAAAAGTTAATTGACAAAACTACTCCAAAGAAGTGTTCTAACGTGTCAAGCATAATTTATTTCCAGTTTCTAATAATACACTAATGAGATACACCATGTTTTATTTCTCTTTTATGTCACTCTATCCTATAAAAGCACGATCAATGATGCTAATTAATAATCCCAGTAAATTAAGACAAAAGATGTCGAAAAAAAATTCTGTACAAGCATGACACTTTTACTCTGTCTTTTCCCTCGAACATTATTATGTTGATAAATATGTTTGGAGCTCACAATTTTGAAAGACACTTCAAATTTAGCAAAATATTGCACTTCTTTATTAATATAAGACTGCAAAGTCAACTTCTAAGTAATTGAGAGGTAATTTGACTTCGATGATATATATAGACTAAAATTCAGTCCAGTCGTCTAGACCTAACTTCCATAATTAGAGATATTGCAGTAATCCTCGATTTCTGATCTTCCAGTTAACTAGGCAAACAACCTAAAGCAATCGATATCTGAGTTTCACATATATAGTTGTTTACTCTATTCAGTGGTATCAAACAGATGACTCAAATAACTAAGATGTTTTATGTGCCACATACCATTACCCAAGTTTGCTAATTAGTTTTCTTCTGAAACTACACGAAAAAAATTATCTGTAGCAGCAACAGATTTTTGATTCGTTTCTATTACAAATTTTTTTTCTGTATGCTTAGTAAAAAACATGTGTAAGTGTTACAATTTTAGTCTGTAATTATAAGACTAAAAAAAGCTGTTGCAATTATAGTAATAATCTATAGAGAGTAGAAAATTATTTTTTTGATCAAATGAAAGTTTATAACAATAATCATTTGAATGCTAAATGTTTTATACACCTGATAATTTTTAATGTTTTATATCAAGTTAACTAGATGAAATTGACATTCTTAACTCTTTTTGTATAATATCGACACCAGTTTTAAAAAGAATAATTTCACATGTTTGTGATTTTCACTGAAGGCTTTTCATTTTCAACCGAAAAAAAGGGATTGTAAAAACAACACATATTCTGTCAGTTAATTTTTATGATTTTTTCCTTGGAATAATGAAAAATCACGTAATTTCATCAGAGAAAGTTCAAATGTCATTTAAACTCGTAATTCTCAGCTTTTAGTTGATATTAAAATGAGTGCAATGGACATAAAAGTTAATCTGAATATTTTGAGCACATTGTAAAAAATTTGTGATCGGAACCGTTATTAATGTTGTTAAATTCAGAGAAGAATATTTAATATCATTGATAAAAATAAAATATTATTAGAAAAATCGTTGATTCTATCCACAATAACCTTGTAAACAAAAATTTAAAAGGAGGATCATTTGTGAAATCAAAGATAATTGTTAAGGTTTGAAAGGTACAAGCTGTTATTATCTTTGAAACATTTATATCTTCAAAGGATAGTAATGAATGCTGTCACACAAAAAATTTTATTTATTATTATAAAAAATATTCTAAGTTGAAATTAAAAAAAAAATATTTGTTACAGGCAGAACCAGCTTTAATGTACGACAGTGTTAACGTATTTGCTGTTGGATTAAGGACATTAGAGCAATCTCACGCGTTAAGGCCTGCGAATCTCTCCTGTGAACTCGAGCATCCTTGGGATGGTGGTTTATCTCTTATCAATTATATTAACTCAGTAAGTAATCTTTAAACCATCAATAAATTTTCCCTATCCAGATAGACTTGAAAAAATTTTTTTTTCTGGTTGTACCAATTCTCGAACTTCCTTTCTAACAAAAATGCTTCAAAAGCATTTGTTAGTGTGAATTAGAGTCTGAAAGATTTGGATTCTCTCCAACCCATGTGATATCCGGGATGTTCACTTTTCCACAAGATAAAAATATATAAAGATTATAAGAATAAAAAATCAATAATCGGAAAAGAAAGATTTTCTTCTACTTCAATGTGAATAAATGAACATTATTTACGATCAATTTCAAGTCTGACATTTTACCATGAACAGAAAATTTATATAGAAGAAGATATTTTATTTTTAAGAGAGTAAGAGTCTTAATAAAGAAATAAATTTAGAAGTAGAAAGGTAATAAACTCATTTTAAGTTAAAAATATTGTTTATAGTCGAAATTTTCGTCATAATAACAACCACGAACAATTTACTTTAGATGTGAATCCTCGAAATCTCTCAGCTAAGTATAAAAGTAATTAGTAAACACAATTTAAAGGCGAACGTATTCTTCGATAATCTTACAACCTATTAAACTTTCACAACTATTGACACGTCCAGTAACTTTACGTGTTATTAAATAGTACAACTTTTTATGCAATTTTAACTTGAATTTTTCAACTTTTACAACTTCCCACAAGTTTTTGTAAATCATACACATCATTACTTGTTTGTTCTATTTTCTATTAACAAAAATTATTGATTAAAAAAATATTTAAACCATAATAGAGAAATAATTTTTATCCTTCTGAACTCTTAGAAGTTGGCAAGAAAAACGTTCTGATTTTTTTATTGCTCACATTTAAAATTCATCTTAAAAAATGTCGTAATATTGATAGCTACACTAGTGAGTTGTAATAACGTCGCTAGTAACAAACGCAATCGTAGCAATACAGAGAGTTAGATTGGTACTTCTCATGTCTACTAACCAAGCCACGAGTATAAATTGTTTAATGCTACGTAATGAATGGCGCGAAAGCTGTCGTCTACAGAAGCCACAAATTCTCTCATGACATCGAACAACCCTCTTTACGGAATGACCCACACATACTCACCTACTATGAACTTTCATATTTTTTCTTAATCTTTACTAATCAATTTTACATTAATATGAAAAGTAAAAATTCTTGTTATATTGATCATATAAAAAACAACTTCATGTTCGAATATTGAGTAATTGAATGCTTGGAATTTTCTTAACAATGCAATTTCATGGTAAAGAATTCACTCAATTATCTTAAATTGTTCAGCGATGGGAGGAATATGAGTTTTTAACATCATTCATTACTGGAAATAAAAATATTCTATCTTTTTGAAAGGATAAAGTAAACGTTTTTGCAAAAATAAAAATTGAAAAATGTCTATGAATTTTACACTGTCACATGCTATTTCTGTGAGAGGCAACTATTACAGTTTCAACTGGACTAAAAAAAAAAAAAAAGAATTAAAAGCAGAATAAATGTTTCTTTGAATCAAATAAAATAGCAAATATTTTGATATAAAATAATAATTATACAATTATTTTATAAGCTATTTAATATGTTCTAAAAATGGATAATATTCAGATTTACTATAAAAATTCTACGACTATAAATAAAAGTAGCTTATAATGGACGATTTTTTTATAAACCTCTCATGTCAAAAATCTCTATATTATTTCTGTATTGACCATATAGTTTTATGATAAATTAATTTAGTTTGAAAAGCTGTTAATGTCGAGTTTAATGAATAAGTACATTAGAAATGGTCATCAATTTTTTTTCATTGATGATGTACTTGACAAAATTTCTCATCAAAATATGGGAACATGGATAAAAAATTTTTATCAAGTAATTAATACGCTTGGACTTTTTCCAAATATTTGTTTGATGTCAATAATTTTTTATCGATGAATAAATAATAAAAATGAATAAAAAAAGCGTGTAATTCAATAGGTTGCTTTATTTTCTGTTAAAAATGTTTTTTCTCTTCATACAATTTTTTACAAATGTATTTCGTACCGATGATTATTATTTATGTTAAAAAAAACTCTGCTAATTATCTAAAAGTTGAGTACCAGCTTTATTACTCTACAGAAAAACATGTAAAGATTTCATCGTAAAACCCCGAAAGAAGTCAATCACATCATTTTCTCATTCAGTGTCATTAATAATCATTGATAATTTATAAATCCTTTCTATTTAAATTACATTGATTAGTGACTAGCTTGAATATTTTCCATTTCTAGGAATCTTAATCTAAACATTTTGTCTACAAGACTAATAAAACATTTAAAGCAATGATTTAATTGTGACAGGAAATAGACGTGGTTTGACGAGAATGTGTTGGCTGAAACAATATTTATCTGTTACATTGTTCCAGTGCGTCTCTTTTATTACAGCATTCGGAATTTCAGAACCAAAGTTGTTCCATATGTGATGGATAGAACACACTAAATGTTTCGGATAGCCGCTTAGTAGAATTGTGCTTTTAAATGATTTATATTCCGCTGTATTGCAATTATTCAATTAAATTTCTTGTTATATTTCATCTATTTTTATCTAAAAAATTCTCTTTCATTTTGTTAATAAATTTCATCAGATGATATTTGATTCCTTCAATGAAAAAAACTTTTTCAATTTTTATCGCAATTTTTATCACATCATTCTTAAAAGTGTATAAAATATTTTCTTTATAAACTTTGAGTAAATTGAGAGCAATTATTTTATTGAATAAAATTATGTTCAGTTACCAAACATGAATTACAGTTCATTAAATTTGTCACCTAGCCTGGTAACCATCTCTTTGAATTTATTTCATGTTAAATAATGTTACACAGTTGGCTACCAGTTGATTATCATCACAAAATGATAATGATGAACATGAAAAAGAGTTCCATGTGATCAGTAAACATCAGAGCTGAATATTAAACATGTTATACACAATTTTAACTTACACTCAATAATTAGAGTTACGAATTCACGCACAGTGAAAATTGAATATGATGGGTGTCTATTGCAGTCTAAGCATTGATCGAGCAAACGCATAGAATACTCAAACACATCAAATTCCAATGCATAGCAAGCTTGAAACGGCATGTTCACTACCGTAAAGGAGAGAAATAGTGCTAGAATATCAAGATACAAGGGGTAGCAGGGTACTACATTGCCCTTTCGTGACAACCTTAGATTCAAATTGGTATATATTAATGTCGGATATATGTATGTGAAGGGTGTTATCAGGAAAGTGCTAGAGCGAGAATTGATCCTGGCATATTACCAAGGATTATTAAACGATCACAACTGTTAGTGCAAATTTAAGAAAAAATATGTCATCTCTATTAATTAATATCTCAGTCTGTTTTTGTTAAATCTTAAGACAATTTATCAAGCTTGTCATGAAATGGTTTCTGATGGAAATATTTGTTGTCTTTGAATTTTTGATTCAGCTTTAAACCCCTTGAGATAACTGTCAAGTCTTAAACTTTAATTAACGTAATCTCTGATTTTGTTGATCGAAGTTAGTACGGTCTTAATATATTATAATTGTCAGCAAATAGTTGAAACAGCTATATCTTAGTGCCATTTGGATTCTACTAGATTTACCGGGTAATTACCACTGTACAAGTGGTTTAATTGAACCGAATGAGAAGTAATTGTCATGGAAAATGTACGAGAACATTGTTAAATATTGAACAAGTTGCAAATTCCTAATGATTTATCACCTTACTTATCTTTAATACAACTATAGTTTAGTTGTCATTATTAAATGAATAATATTTCTATTAGCAGAAAAAAATTTTATGCAATTAAGATGATGGAAATTTTCAATAACTGTACGAACTAATTTAACATGAAATAAAAGCTTACATTAATTAGCTTAGTTGTACCAGGATAAAATAAATACAGTAATATATGTCACAATTTGAAATTCGAACATTGCAAAATTTTAAACAAGGATAATATTAAAAATTGTCACGTTCCATTATATTTCTACCGAGTTGAGTTAAATCAAATGAGTAAGTGGAAAGAGTTTAAGAGAGAAATTTCTCAACCTTTTTGACTCAGTAAATGGGAGAGAAAGATGTGCATCAAGTGTGAAAGTGTAAGATAAAAAATTACCTACAATTTCTTTTATCTAATTTAAATTGGCGAGAGAAATCTTTTCTCTTTATCTACTTTAAAAGAAAGAACGGGATATAAACTCAATTATTTCTTGTAAAATATTCTCATAATTCATCTTTAAAACATTTTTTCTGCTTAATTATACAGCAAACCGATAAAAACGTATCAAATTTATACAGTTAATCATGAACTCATTCAGTTTTCCAGTATTTACGATGTTTTATTTCCTACTTGTTGGAAAAAAAATTCAGCTCTATCAAATAACATTTTTGAAAATTAAATTTTTCCATCACCCTCAACATTGACATCAAGTTGGAAAAGTTGTAGAAAACGATTTATAATCCTCTAGTGTATTTTCGTCGAAGAAAATGAAGGAAAGACACGCTTATACAGCAAGATGAACGTGATAGCTGTTACGTGGGTAATTTAGAGCCATAAAAAACACCTAGTATATAATAGAAATATTTTTACTACACTTTTATATGGAAATTACCAAAGTATATGAAAAATCCAGCGAGCACTGGTGTAAAATACCACTATAAAAATCTTTTTCTTTCAAAGAGTAACAATTGAAATGACAAGAGTTTAAATATTGTTACAACTTGTTGAAAAGTAGAATTTTGTTCAAAATTATCCTGAAACTTCAACTTAGGTTTATGTTAATCAAAATAACAGCTCCACCAGAATGGACGGCATGTGTATTAAAAATTTCAAGCATGTTTGAAATGTTTACAGAGCTGAATGCCAGTTACTAGTTTGACGTAGTTCATACAATTAAATTAAATAGGAAGCAGAATAGTTGACCATACCCCTGTTCTTCTAAGCAAATGAGTTTCGTATATCTACTTTTGATCTAGAGTTCCACGTTGTTTAAGCTAAGAATAGCTCTTGAATGTGGATATGGTGTAAGAGAGGATAGGTTCACATAGACTCTGGAACCTAGAATCTACACTAACATCGTCCTTCAGGTCTTTGACTATATATAGTTTCAAACCTTAGTCTTGTCCTAACTAGAGCCCTTAATTTATGGTCGTAGTTGTAATCCGAGTTTCAATTTCGTATCTCGTGTCCCTGCATCTCCTACTATTTTAGTTTCAACACCTTCTCTTATTGTAGTTTTCCTATGAAGATATTCTTTAACTTGGATTTACATCCAAAAAAAACTTGTAACTTGGACAAGTTTCTTGGTAACTTTCTTCTTCTTATTTATCCATCACTATGTTAGGAACTTTTTTGAAACCCTGATTCAGTTGTAATGGTCAAACCAAAAGCAGATCATTATCAACCTCACCACTAGGATCAAATAAATTCTCTCAAGACATTGTAATGTGTTCCAGTTTCCTCGGATATTTTGAACTGTTTATTTAAAATTTATATCTAGCATAATGTATGCCAATTTTTGTTCTTTAAAAAGTAAATGATAGAATCTAGCTAGAAATCGCCATTCCAACTGAAACAGTATTTTATGGAAACTCAATATTTTTAAATTTGATATAATACCTGACAAGATAGAATGCTTTTCAATATTGTGTTTCCTATTTTTCTATTGGATTTATAACATAACTGTATCCGATAACAAAATAGTTCCCTTGAAATACAAGTTTACATAATCACTGCAGCATTTTCATGGGTTACTAATAAGATTTACGTATACTCAGATAAAGATAGTGATTTATCTACATTAGGTCGATTTACTTATATTTGTCTCATTTAAATTGACCGTAGTATCGAAAAACGTTTTGTAGAAAATTTAACGTATAAAATATATGGATGAAGTACATGATATTTGATTAAGAGTTAGATAGCATCAGAATATCGACGCTTGATCAAATCCATCGAATGAGGGAATTTACTATTCTCTCATATCGTCCACGATCCCGATCGTACTCTAGTATTACTTTTTTTCATTGATGGTAAAATAAAACAGGAAAAAAAAAGAATATAAATACAATGGACATGAACACAGAATGAACAAAAATCAACGCAAGGTAACAACACATTGTGCATATATATTTGGCAAGAGAAAATCATTGACCTGGCAGATGTTGATTCTATAAATAATTTATAAATTTTTCAAATACAGTAGGTAGAGCGATGCTTGAAAATTCAAAAATTATTAGTTTTATTTGGTAATATAAGCAATTATTTCTCAATACATTTCTTTTGAACTAGTGTCAGATAAATATTTTTCCTATTTTTCATACAATACACATGTAATAAAAAGTGTAGATCAATACAACTGAGCATGATTTAATTGGGATATTTTATTTATTGTTTCAATATTTCTTTATAAAAAAAAATGAGAATTGTATCGTCGTATTTTTGCACGTTGGATTTTTCTTTTTATGAGTTTTTTAATTAAATAAAGTTATTTAGGATATGATACTTGGAAAAAGTTTAAATATTAGTATACTTTAAATCGCCATAGATTTCTAAATGACTTTCAAATTGAACGAATAAATCAAATCTTAATGAAACTAGAGCATAAAAGCTAGATGGTAAAAAAATTATACCTAGAATTCGATTAAATACTTCAAGTAGTAATTGATTAAATCACATATCGCAAAAAAGTTTCGTTATACATTTTAAGTAAGATAATTGAATTTTGATTGCTCAACTCTGATGTTAAATATTAGTAAACTAGTGATCTAACTAATTGATTGAACTTTTATACTTGCATTGAAAAATTTTACGAATATAATTAAAAATTTTATAAACTAATTTTTATTTCTAATAGTACTGAAAATTTCTTTGCTTTTAAATGACTTAAAAATTTTCAACAACTTTTTCCAACCTTTCACTAGTCATATACTACACAGACCACTTTTTAACCGTAGATATTTTAAGTATAAAACCACGTAGGACGTCCAATATTTTAGGTGCTATATAAATATAGGTATATATGAACAGATATAGCAGATAGGATGATTTAAAAATCATGCTGGCTCTCCCTTTCTCCTTTGTCTTTCTATATCGTAAGAGTGACGTTGAATTTCCTGCCATACTTTGCTTCACAGTTGGATGTCAGTCCATAAAAAAGGTCACGTAAAGGAAGTTTTCCTGTAAATCCGTGAACTCGCAAGACCCATTCTCCAACTCTGCTAAGTTAGTTGCTCATATTCCTTGCGCGTCGAAAAGATGTACCTTAAGTAATGGAGTAAAAATGATAAACTACTACACAGTTCAAAAGAAACTTGTAACAGATTACACTTGCCGAAGGCATTTCATTATCATTTCTATAAAATTACATATTTAAATAGTAACAAATTCCATTTTTTCGTGAAACTGATGCATTTTCTATGAATTTATTGATCACTGGTGATAAAAAGTCTTCTTATAGAAAACAGAATATTTTTTGTTAGAGATAAGTAGAAAAGAACATTTTCCATTTGGCATCTATAAAAGTAACATTCTCACTTTCAAGATAACATTTACCTATTGTTGCCTTTTAACAACCCTTTTTTATGACAATGTTGTCATCTAACATCAAATTTTATCATTATCTTTTCATATTTAACTACCAATTAATACTAATCACTCTGAAATTTATCCACCTAACCATAATTCATTCTGCACAATCCAGCTACTCTCCAAATACCATTTAACTACTCAAAATCAAGTGGGCCATGTTCGGGACTTAACTCTAGATTAGGACCAAATGTAAATTGCTACCTAGGTTAATAGTTCGAGAAATTGTTTTAGGCTTGACTTTTTTTTTGATGAAAAATAAAATATTTTCTGTTATCACAAAATATAAATATTTCAAATAAAATATCTGATACTTGGGCTTATAAAAAATTCTTGAACAAAAGATAAAGCTTTATTCTCTGAAAGCAGTTGCATTTCAACTGTAATATCATTAGGAATGCTAAGACGGTAGTTGAAGTCAAAGAGAGCGTTTATTGTTCACTTTTATTGAGGTGATGATAATATGCATACGATGATGATAATTCTTTTTTATCATCTCATTTAACTACATATAATAACATAAACTTACTATTGAGATCTGCTAGTATTATTTCTTCTAAACAACGATAGAAGTTGATGCTTTTGTGTTTTTTTTTACTCGGTTTTATTTACCTATTTCGTTGAAACAAATACAATTTTAGAAGTTAAAAATTTATTCGTGAGAATCGTTGCATGCGCACTCTATTCTTATCGACATTTACGTCAAATCCACTTGATCTCTCTTCATTTTTTGTGTTTTTATGGAGTACCAAAGAAAGAAGTCTATAAGAAGGATCATCCATTGAATCCGCCTGAGTATTCTGCTTGCTTCTGACTCTAATCGATTGAACGTATTGATGTATGATGACGTAACGAGTTTTTAAACATTAAAATTCATGGAGAACTTCATTATTCATTCGAAATTCAATTATGAAATTCCTTATCGAAATAATAATATTCAATAAATTAAAAACTACCATTGTCATATTACTTTGCCCGAGTTTTATTTTATGATAACTATGTCCAGAAATCAACCATCAATTTTAATTCAGTTATTGATTATTGGTCGTTTGAAATAACGACAGATTCCAATTTTGCATCGAAAAGAGCAAATAATAAGCTTATCATAAGCTAGATTTTATATACAACTAATATTTTAGTATCATTAGAGTTAATATAATTAGTTATTATCTATCAAAATTCAGCATAACAAAATTCAATTTGAATTTTAAATGCACTACTGCTTATAGCATCAATTGATTGTAATTTAATTTCAAGAGAGTCTAGATCTTGAAAAGATTTCATACAAAATATCTTCAGCAGTAGTTTTATAAAATACTTGAGTTGCTTATTGAATACTCTTTAATTTCTGCTACCAGATGTGAAAATTTAAATATTTCTTCCAATTTTCAATAAGCAGCTTCCTTTCAACATTTTCTTATTTATTTTCTTGAGTTTTCTATATCTATCAAAAATTTTAATCATGCTTCTTATGAAAGGTGCCAACCAATTATCAATCAATAAGACCTTTAACTTCAAACGTATACCATGTGTTTCGAGTACTTTATTGATAATAATTTTTACTTTATGATTTATAGGTAGAAATGAAAGGTATTTCTGGACCCATTGAGTTTAAAGAAGGACGTCGAATCCAATTCAAACTAGATCTTCTAAAATTAAAACAGCATTCTTTAATGAAGGTATGGATACTCTATAATTTCATTTACAACTGATAGAGGTGACAATTATTAATAACTCAGAAATCATATGACTCGAAAAATAAAAATTGTCAAGTCTCCGTATCCAACACTAATTGCTGAAATTAATCAATATCTTCTATATTTCATCAAACCTTTTGTAGGTAGGAGAATGGAGACCAGAATCAGGAGTGAACATAACAGATAATGCAGCATTTTTTGAACCAGGAACAGTGAATGTTACATTGGTAGTAATAACGATTCCGGTGAGTTGAAATAATGATCGTACTACGATTTTCACTTAGTTAAAATCCACTTTATTACGCTTTTCAAGCAATATCCTAACTTTGATGATGCTCAAAATCACTCGTTTTTACATCATACATGTTCATTGCTCAACACTCATACATCATAATTATTCTAAAAGTTTGTACAGATTTATGTACATAGAACTAACTTATAAAAAATTAATATAATTAGTAAATGAAGCCAAGTGAAATAGAACTACGTATAGCATTTATTCAAAAATAAGTTCATTTATTTCACAATAACTCAAGTATTTTCATGAACTTTGTTATCCAAGTATTGTACATATTATCTGGTTGTGTGTATTTATCATAGAGGGAAAAAATTTATTCTGTAGAGTAATGCGCAAACATGTATCGATCATTGCTCTAATGGTGTTTAGTCTATGCTTGAAGTATTTTATTCAGATAATTTCTACGTATTCCTCGATCTCGTTTAATGCTGTCAAATCTTTTTCATCCGACGGCTCTTCAACTCACTATTGAATTCCCATGTGAATTAAATCGTCTATTGTTCTTCATTTCGTGAGCTCACTTATCTCCAATATTACAACATAAATTAAAAATATTTACATTTTTTTTTAATTTTTTGATATAATCGGTTGGAAGAAAAATATTTAAACGTAAGTGAAGTTGTTGAAGTAGAAATAAAAAAGTAATTAAAAAAATAGAAATGAAAAACAAAGTAAAAACACAGCTTTCGTATATTACCTATCTAAATCTTTGGATTGAACACGAGTTTGTGATGAGTGAGATTCTGGTATCGTTCAGTATGTAGAAAAGTCCAATTGAGTTCGTTAAAATGTAGCAACTCTGTGATTTATAAACCTGAATATCCGATAAGTGCAAAACGAGTCCATTTCATGTCAATTTTGCCAGGTTGTTTTTAAATTAGTTTATAAAAAAAATTAGCAATCATGTTTACTTTACATTTAAAAGCTAATTACTCTTCATCATAAATTTCTCTGTTAAAATTTTTAAATATTTTCTCGTTAGTTAAAATTCATTTATTGAATAAATGAATTTCAAAATATCCTATTCAATCTGTAAAACTCAATTAGTCTAATTATTTTCATTAATCGGAAGGCTTTGAAACAACTCACTAAAATAAATAATTACCCAACTACAGCCATGTGAGGATATATTTTTATAATAAAAATTTTAGCATGACGCTATAATATATTATTACTATTATAAGTATGAACTGAGAACATTTTTTAAAAGTTTTATAATAAATTTTAAAATTTATATTAATATTTTAAGCTGAATAACTCAGTAGTAATATTTATGTTAACTTAGTAGTTGTTGACATAGTTATAAGATAATTTTGATACGGCAAAGTTTATGGTTAGTCTGGTGACTATATACGAGACTTGGGTCCAAACAATACAAAGTTGTCCTTATAATTTACCAGTATACCAATGCATATGGTTCATCTAGCTCAACATACTGTTCAATATTAACTGTACACAACATTTATTAATGTTCAAATACAGTCAAAAGGGAGAATGATTGCAAAATGATAAAATTTTTCCAGTAAGATAAGTTATTTATTTAATTTATATAGTGAATTAAAGCAATATAGTTAGCGATGGAAACATATTTTTGGACATAAAATTCGATATGTGTTTTATTCTCAAGAGAAATGATTTGAATTAGAATTCAAATAACTTGATATTACCAGTACTAGAACCTGCACTTCTACATCATGTTATCTACGATAACTTCATTTCCCTTGGATCCATTTCTGTTCATGAACCATTAAATAAAGCTTGGCTTAAACCCCATAGTAAGGTATAGATAGCAGGTCGAGTACCGATTCCTCGATTACCATAATCTTTTATTCCATGGCCATACTTTTATTTTCAAGCCTAATTCTATTAAAATTGTCTTTAGTTTCATTAGCGTTGCAGAAATTGATAAGTGTTATATCAAGCTATCTACAAGCTTTTATCATCAACTTGACATGATTAGTTAATTATAATAAATTTGATACTCATTAATTATTTTTTGGCATGAATTGCGCAATATATTGAGGACAGGAGAAGCCATACATTATGATGCATCTTGAAAAAAACTACACGGGTAACAATCGGTTTTACGGTTTTTGCGTGGATTTGCTTGAAGCTGTGGCACAAAGGGTAGGCTTCAGTTATCGTTTGGAGCTTGTTGCGGATAAAAAATATGGCGTTAAAGATCCAGAGACTGGCGAATGGAATGGCATCGTCAATGAACTCATGCAACATGTATGCCTTGGTTTGTTTTATTTCAATTATTTCACTTGATCATCAATACCACTATATAAATCCATACTTAGTATAATCATAAATCGTATTTACTTATTAATATTTTATTTGCAAAATTTCCTCTCAATTGTAAAATACAATTAATTACTTACCAATGCCCTAGATTGCTACTAATTCAACTCCTCTTTAGTGTTTAAATATTATTTATTGTTAGCTGATAAAATGTATTATTTTCCCTGCATATTTTCAAAGTAAGTAAGTATAACATGGTTACCTTTGAGTTATGATTAATTGCTTCAACAACAATTCTTGTATTTATTAATACAACCTAAAAAGTCACCATAAAGACGGACGAGAAACTAAAGAAAAACGACGACAGATTCTCTTTTCTTCTCGACCCGTAGGAGCAGCCGTACGTTATGCTGAGGAACTCTGGAAATTTCACCGGTAACGAACGTTACGAGGGATTTTGCATTGATCTACTGAGAGAGATAGCGCGAATGGTGGGATTTGCCTACAAGATTGAGCTTGTGCCGGATGGCAAGTATGGTGTTTACGATTATGAGACTGGCGAATGGAATGGCATAGTTCGTCAATTAATGGATAAGGTAAGTTACGATGAGGAAGCTTTTTTCAACATCTTAATTCATCACTTACTACTTATTTAATTATTATACGACATCCTTTTTCGATAGACTTATATCTATTTGAATATTGAAAAAAAAAATGGACAGAAACCTTTTGTCTTGTTTTCATAGAAGCAACATGGGCTTTGTTTCCGTTTTAGATATCGTAATTCATAAATGTACGAAATAAGGGCTATGGGGTGCACACAGTAGCTTCCGTCGATTCGAATTTCAGATCGGTTATCAACTGATTCACTTTGGTATCGTAACATGAACTGTACTAGTGAGAACAGCAGTGTTTTTGCAATGCAAATGAATCTTCGAGTGAAACGCGGAAATAACACGGTGTGACATCACGTGTAGAGACGGATTGAACTAACACTAGTAGACTTATGTGTATCTAAACGTCAAAATAATTCGAACGATTTGAGTACATCCTATTAACTGTGTCTCTCGAATTGACAAATTTCCATCTATTACACACTTACAGAAAAAATGACCATTCAATTTATTACTTGAACTAATAATATCATTATTTCATTCCTACAAATATCTTTTTCTTCAGCAATAGTTTGCAAATAATATTAAAATAAATTTCCGGTGCGTGCAATACCGAGAAAAATACGTTGGTCCATTTTTCTCTTAGTAGCTGATTAATCGTCTTGGTGATAAAAAATTCGGAATTGCTCGAGCACGAAGGTAACGAGGACTTTTGTTCGAGTGTGACTATGAATTGAGAAAATAATTCCGCAGTGCTCGGCAATCAAGTCGCGAAGTCGCAATTAGAGAGAGGTAACGAAAGAGAAAACTAACGAGTGAGAGCAAGTGGCAAAAGATAGAATTATAAAAGAAAAGAAATTTTCGATTTCATTTCCGAACTGTCCTCGCCATATTCTTCATTTCCTCACGACTACTTTGTCTTGAAAATAACTTATATAATAAAATCAACTTCTCTTAGTCCATAAAAATATTAAATTCTTAGCTTATTTTATAAAATGTAGTCTTTCATGTAGGAAAAAAATATCACTAGACATTGTATTGCGTTCAGTTGAAACATTATTAAAAAAAAAATAAAAAAAATATGCAAATTATTCATAAATAAATCTAAAAAAAATTTTACTTTTCTTTTATAAAAAATGAATCGAAAGAGTTTTGCCTCAAAAGGATAATATTTTAAAATGCTAAAAAATCTTATAAATAAGTGGATCGTTGAGGAAAAATATAACAAGTAAGAGAGTCATTTTTCACCGGCTTAAGAAATTTCAGTCAGCACGTTTCTCTGTCAGATAGAGACCGTATTATATAAAACATAATTCAAAAATGGTTATAATATTTATAAGCTAAAAATATACATCTATATATAAATATTCGAATTTTTTGATAAACATATTTTTTATAATTTAGAACCACTTGGCTTATTTAAGTAATTGCACTCTTGCTTACGTAGAATGCGTGTAGAGCCCTGTAAGTTTTGTCATCTATACTTAATATCATCTACAAAATATTTCATCTACGTGATAATTCTTTTTTAATATTTAACTATTTGTACTTCATTATATCAATGAGTCATCAATATAATTGTTAAGTTAATGTTTTAATGTAAAATGAATTTTTACAGAAAGCAGATCTAGCAGTAGGTTCAATGACCATAAATTATGCAAGGGAGAGTGTAATTGACTTTACGAAGCCATTCATGAACCTAGGAATCTCCATACTCTTTAAGGTAAGTTTCAAGATGATGAAATAAAAAAGGAAATTGATAAAAAAAATTTTCTAAAGTCTTAATCGTCCTGAAAACGCCTAGTGGTCGACAATTACCTACCCTTGATGAATAACTGTCGTGAATTTAAACGAAAAACTTGCAAAAATACTTTTACTTTAAAACTTACTTATGATAAATGGCTTTCAAAAAATACTCTTTCATTTAAACATTTGTCTATACTCAATTAAAAGGTCTAATATTCATGAAATAGTTGTTTACATCAAAAGAAATATCAAATTTGTTCTTAAAAAAGTTTAAATCTGATTGCCCAGTGATTAATTTAAACTTTCTTTAAATATCTTTTGGAAATTAGTAATATAAAGATAATATTACTGTCATCTGTCTGCAATTAAACTTCCCTACTCATTTAATCATGCAATGAAGTCTAAAATATTCTTTATCATCAACGAATTCTGGTTGACCTTTTCATCGTGGAAAATAAATGAGATTGAGCTTAATGGCCTTAGACTATTATGGAACAAGTTATATGGAAATCCAGCTTAGCTCGTCTCAAATTCATTACGGGTACTAATGAAATAATTAAAGTAGATGAGAGAATGATTTCGTGTTAATGACAATTCTGATACAGATATTGATTCAGATAAATCATTTTTTTTTATCACAAATAACTCATTCGAATTCATCGACATGAAAATATTCCTCAATAGTCCATCGATAACCATCAGAGATAATAATATTGATTATAATTTGCTTTAAAAATGGAAAAATCTTGTTAATTGGCTGGTTATAACTAGAACGAAGAAAATAAAATAATGCAATTAATTGAATTTCCTCTTGCAAAAGAAGGGAATTAAAAGTAATCGCATTTAATTATAGAGCTGTTTCTACTTCTTTGAAAATTTCTACGATTGTCAGTACTCGTTTTAGCTTAACTCAAATGAGCTTTTTCACTTCAAAGTGAATTTGACACTATAGATATCAGTTTAATTGCTTTCAAATAATATTCAGTGTATCAGTAAGTTAAAACAGTTTAAAACAAAGTGCACTGTTAATTTGTAATTATGAAAATTAAAAAAAAAAATATATTCTTTTTACATTCCCAGCAAGTGTTCCTGACGATCAATTTTTTGTACATTTTTTTTCTATGGCTGAGTACATTATAATACTGTAGGCTGACATATTTTTTGATATATCAGACTAGTGACTCTTCTTTCATCCATTAAGGTTAGTCGGAAAATAAAAGAAAAATGATCATCCTAGTAGGCAATAATCTATATGTATTTCAAGCTGTATGTTGGCAGTTTGATAAGGGTCTAAACGGTGATAAGACGCTCGATTCGATGTTTTCTTTCATTGTTATGATAAACCTGTTATTTATTACGCCGATAAAAATTCCTAAATTAACTCCAACTGGAATAACTTCAGAATAGTTTCATAAATAAATTATGGGGAGACTATCAACTGAAATAATAGGGCTTCAGCTTTTTTATTAGATAATTAATCAAAAAATGACTGAATATAATTACGATTAAGGAACAGTAATATATGATAAATGATTTTTTTTCCAGGTACCAACCAGTCATCAGGCTCGACTCTTCTCATTTATGAATCCTTTGGCGATAGAAATTTGGTTATACGTTCTTGCTGCCTACGTTTTGGTTTCTGTAACAATGTTCGTCGTTGCGCGATTCAGCCCCTACGAATGGAATAACCCACATCCGTGTCATTCGGGTCCAACGGAAATCGTTGAGAATCAATTCTCCTTGGCTAATAGTTTCTGGTTCACCATTGGAACGCTGATGCAGCAAGGCAGCGATCTCAATCCAAAGGTATTTGAAGTTTCTTTGTTTTTTTTCGAAATAAAGAAATTCGTAATCATCAGTATTTTTATGTTCTAAACTCGTTCTGATAATACTGAATAAAAATTTTTTTTAAATCCAATAACTGTTAATAAATCCATTATTCAATGTCTGGATGAAAGAAAAAATAAATCCTTTTAAATAATTTTTGGGGATCAATTTTTTTATTTCGAATGAACATTCGTAAGAATTTAACAAAAATTTATATAACAGTTTTCAACTATTATTCATTCACCATTGTATGTAGAATAATAAAGGATTAGATTCTATAAAGCTTAATATATTGAATGTGAAAAAAAAATAAAACTTCCGTGGAAAAAATTTGCAAAAATAGGGATATTGATTATATTGCTGAACGAAAAAGCGAACAAATAAGAAAAACATTCTCCACAACAATATATCTTTAGTAAAATATTCTAGACGTGCCGTTTAGCAATTTACTTTGTTATACGTCTCAAAAGAATTTCTCTTCAGACATAAAATTGTCATCATTTTTTTTTATATACATTTTTACTGTAATTTTACCAATAAAAAAAATACCTTTTATAATTGAAGGCTACAAGTACACGAATTGTTGGGGGAATATGGTGGTTCTTCACGTTGATAATAATTTCCTCATACACCGCCAACCTTGCTGCCTTTTTGACAGTAGAAAGAATGATAACGCCAATCGAAAATGCAGAAGATCTTGCTGGACAAACTGATATTACATATGGAACTCTAGAGAGTGGCAGCACCATGACATTTTTCCGGGTAATTAAACTTCAATACTATCATAGAGACCTTTTTTTATTTATTCGAACGATATTTGTTAAACACAGCATAACGAATGAAAATTTATTGATATACATTCATTATGAATACATGTAATATGGTATTATTATTCATCATTATATAAATAATATTTTCATTTAATTGGGAATAAATTTAATTGAAGTAAAATGTATTAATTAATTTTTATATCAATTTTATTCGACGACTGAAAAGTTTATATCAGTGTCAATCGTACTTTTTAATTGGAAATTAAAATAAATTTTGGGGATATATTTGTATAAAATAAATTAGAAGCATACAGATCAATTAAGTTGTATTAATAATTGACAATGAATAATAAAATTAATATTATATTTCAGGATTCGATGATTGAAACATACAAAAAAATGTGGAGATTTATGGAAAATAAAAAACCTTCGGTTTTTGTATCAACATATGAAGAAGGGATTCAGCGTGTTTTGCAAGGTGATTATGCATTTCTTATGGAATCCACGATGCTGGATTACATTGTACAACGAGATTGTAATCTTACACAAATTGGTGGACTGCTTGACAGTAAAGGATACGGAATCGCAACACCTATGGGTAACAATTAATCATAATGTAACATATAAACTTATATGAAAGTAGAATATGAATTTTATTCAATTTATTTCATGAACCAGGCTCGCCATGGCGTGATAAAATCTCACTTGCCATACTGGAGCTCCAAGAAAAAGGTGAAATTCAAATGCTGTATGATAAATGGTGGAAAACCCCAGGAGACACATGTATGAGAACTGAGAAGGGAAAAGAGAATAAAGCTAATGCATTGGGAGTAGCTAATATCGGTAAGTTATTATAAAATTGTTTATAAAATTTATATATTCTAAGCATATACATCATTTCATACAGGTGGAGTATTTGTCTTCCTTTTATGTGGACTTGCATTTGCTGTACTGGTGGCAATTTTTGAATTTTGCTATAACTCCAAGAAAAATTCAATTCCTGAACGGGTAAGCTGACATTAACTTTAAACTAATGAGAGAAAGTTACAGAAACCTTTTCTGATACATTCAATATTCAAGCATGTTTCAATGACATAAATCATAAATATTATCCAGCATGGGTTGTTGATATTATTTAAATTATCTATCCGATCAATTGATTCATACATTGTTACAGCTGTGAATAATTTTTCTTGTCAAAATTATTTTGATTGCATGAACATACAAGCATGAACTCATCGATTGAAACATGTAGTTGATCTACTACATTCAGAAACTTAGTCTCAGGACAGGTAAGCTTAAATAATATTATTTTTCTTGCATGGAAATTTTTTTTTTAATTTTCTTGTAGTAATTAGTGATTACTTTCAGGATAATAGAATAGTTAATACTTTACATTAAATATAATATTTTCAATGCTAATGCTAATGAAATCTTTATTGGATTTTAGTCGACGTCATCAGTGCAACCACCACCAACATGCTTAGAATCATTGCAAGCTATTCCACAAGGTACTCAACAACAACCACAGAACCAGCAATCAGAATCTCTGTGTACAGAAATGGCACGTGAATTGTGTCGGGCGTTACGCTGTCACACGTCGTCTCGTAGGAGACAAGTATGTGGAAAATGTTCGACCTATACAGTAGGCTATCCGCTGGATAATCCCGCTACAAATCCTCTTAATGGGATACGATCTCAGGTAAATTGATACCGATTTTTTTTTAATCATTCTTAACAACTACTAATACAATTGATTTCACAATATTTAATTATTATTTTTATTTCAGCGAAACAGCATAGGAGTATCCGGTGAATTATTACCGGCTCATATTCACGTTCATCATCACACTCCACACGAAAATAATTAGCATCTAATGTCAACGTTATTCGTCTGATGATAATGAATGCCTAACTGTTAATAATTCGTTCGAAATCTTGAACATTGAAAGTATTTTTTCTTGGTGTAGTAACTCAATGAATTAGCAACGGAACTTCATAATCAAAAACACAAAAAATCAGAGATTTTCGGGGACCAGTAAGATCATAAAAAAAGAGCTTTGACAATTTCATCTTTTAAAATAAGAAGAACTAGATGTACAAATTCATAAAAATATGGTAGTGAAGCACATATTCGATCAAATAGAGTTTTATATAACAGTACCATGTATTTGTGCGTGTAAAATGTAAATGAGATATAATATTTAAATTTAATAATACACAATATAGATAAATAATGTTAGCTTTAGTTTAAAAGAAAAATAAATATCAATAAAGTATTCATTTTTCTTCTATATCAATATCAATTTCTTTAAAAAATTTCCATTATCAGTACAAAGTAACATACAATTGAGATAGATTTAAAATATCACGCACAAAATCGTGGTACTACCGTTCAATACGATTTTCGATCGTATTTATATGGCTTCGTACCACTAGTAGCTTCTTTTAAAATGTAATTAGTTATCACAGAGGTATCATTGATACAATCTACTGATCCTCGTTAATTTAAAATAACTAAATAAGTATTGAATTTTTGCACGGTTTATTATGTAAAGTTTGCACTGACTTCTTTCAAGGATCTTAAGCCAAATTCAAAAGTAACAAGCATGTCCAAGTACTTTGTAAATAAAATGAATGTACAGTACGTACATTAGGTGTAAACATAACTAGCTAGTAATTAATTTTGAAATAAAAAAAATTGTTTAATGTTTGATGTCCTTCTTCGTGTACACAAATTTAGATGCTAAATAAATATTCATAAATAAAAAAGAATCCAATGATAATTCGTGAATAAAACTCTTAACACGACAATAATTACTTTTTTTTATATAACATCATTTATTAAGAGATAAAATAAATGACAAATAACATATTGTTTATATGAAACTATAACATTTTTTTAATGTTCATTATTTGTTACGATATAAAAGAAATCACATCATGAACGACCCTTCATGTATAACCATACATTTTTTTCAACTCGAATCTTTGATAACTACTTTTTTAACAATAAATATGTTTATTTTGTATTGAATTTTATTGACAAAGTGATGTTTAATTGGTTCTATTTTTTTCTACAGTCTATGACAAGATCAAGCAATGACCGCAAGCTTGATCTAGGCATAAAAAACTGTAGATAAAATAAATCATGACTCAGTAGATGTAAACTGAATCAGTAACTTTCGAATCAGTTATATTAGTAGTTTAGATTCGAATTGTAAATTACACTTTCTTTAATTAAATCTCTTCATTAAAGAAGGGCCTCATCGAATCACTTGAATTATCACACGATCACTCTTATAGTGGTATGTATTACAATTATTAATTAATATGCTTTGTGACTCGGAGGAGGTGATTAACAAATTAACAATTAATTTTTCTTCTTACAGTGACAACTTCGTCCATTATACATTTTTTGTTTAATTTTCTTATTCTTTACTTATATTTCGAGACACTTCTGTACTAGAATTTGACTTTTCATATTGCCATTAATTTACAATAATATCGATAAATTATTATATGATAGCATCAGATTATTATTACAACTAAGAAATTGTTTTTTGAATTAAATATTTTATATACTGTTATTAAACAATAATATTTCTGGCCAAATCATTACAATAAAATATGATATTAACTATAATGAATTAATAGTGATACTTTTTTCTTAATTGATAATAGACATTTCCAAAATATATATTATTTCCATACAGTAATACAATTTTCTTTTTACTTCCTCCTCCGAAATAATCATTTCATCATCACTCGTCATTATCAATACACCATATTCACTTATTTAATATAAACAATAGAGAACTATTCTATTATACTTTGACATTAAAAACCCCGTTAAAAACTCACTCACAATTATCGATACGTTTTTAACTATTAAATTCACTGCAGTAACGTTCTCATAACTTCCAAAAAAGCTTTACATGCCTTTGTATATGTAGAAAGACCTACGAATATATATATTTATTATACGAAATTAATGTTTTAATGACATCTTTCATTCAGTCCCTCGAAGAGATCATTTCACGAGTAGTGTTGAGATCACTTTACGTTTGATCACAAAGTAAAGATACTCATCACTGAGTCTCGTATTCATGTTCATACGTCTTAAATTAAAAATACGTTCTGCGAAATCTCCGCAGAAGTTTGACAAATTGCCAATAAGGGACTGATTTGTACAGAAAAAATTGGTACAATGAAAAATAATAATCATGGTAAGAATAATTAATTATAATAATAGAAGCAGTATAAATATAGAATTAATGGTGAAAGTTAAAGAAATGTTTGAATGAAGTTGTATGAATCAAAATATGAAAAAAACACGACAACTTAAAAACGTAAAACACGAGTAGGAGAAAACATTAATTATAAACATTATAAACAAATAAAAATGAAAGCCCTAGTAATTATACATATTATTTTTGAAGCGGAATATTATTCGAAGAACTTAAAAAAATTTTGATAATATTTTGATGCAAGTACCTCTTCTTTAATATGTCAACTGTTATTTGTTATCTCCGTCGTATTGTTTACAAATAAATTTAATTGAAAATATAAAAAATTTGATTAACTCAAGTAATAATTTGTGTCCTCTCTATGTTTTGATACTGCCTTGCTGTTAAACTTTATATCATTCAAATGAAATAAATGTTAACAAAAAGTCGAAATTATAGAGAAGAATTATTAATAAAACATCTATAAGATAGTTTACATTCAATACTGTTATTTCGGATTTTATAAATTTTATTGAAAATTTATTAACTGAAAGTGTATTCGCCACTAAAAATCAAAAGATTGATATCATTTATCGCGGCACATTGAGAATAAAATTCGTTCTATGAAAAGCGTCTATAGTGTCTAAGTGTCATATTCCATAATCTTCTTTTTGATATGTAGATGTTATCTATGACAAATATGCGATATATTATTTTAATTATCGCAGCAATTGATAAAATTGTTACACAGTTTTTTTAATTTCTCTGCGTAGACTAATAAATTTAATTAATTTTGAAATTCTTATCACTTGTCATTGCTTGGCGTTTTGACTTTTACAATTCTTCCGTTTTACCAAATACCACACAAGTTAATCTAAGTAGCGCATATGCATAATTTTTTATCTGTAAAGACGGTTTTTCAGTTTTAATGCGACATATCTTCAACGATCTGTTTTATATATCATATCTCAATAATGCTCAGTATATATATATATATATATATATATATATATATATTATATTTTTTATATACATATGTTTATAGGCGATCACAGATCATAAATAATTCGTGTGTATGCATTGTGTTGTGTAAATTTACTTTAGTAGTTTTTATTATGATTCTCATAGATTTGATTTTAATTTGAATGATAATTCTTTTTAGTTTTTTACTTTTTTATCTATTGATATCTAAGACGTTAATAAAATTTTTTGCTCCCAAAATTTATATTTAATATTTACTTTTCGAAGCAATTTTTACTCCACAAGTAGCATACTCACGTTACAACTATATCAAATAGGAGCTAAAGCTCACCGTGTGACTAAATCTTGTCAGTTGTCTCTCAATTATACTTTCTTATTCTATATTCAGTTAATGAATTTTATATCAAAGGCATGAATATTCGTTGAGACGCAACTTTATTGATGTTTTGTTGTGAGGTGCTAATTTCATTACATTTCAATATTTCCCGAAATCAATATGTGCAATTATTTGTGTTTCATATGCAATTATATCATATTCTTTCTTATTATTTACATTAGCTCATATTTATCTGACCTACGCAGTATTTGAATTTCTGGGGATAATTTTGTTTGAAATAGAGAGAAATTTGTTTTCACGGTCCAAAAAAAAAATGTCCATACAACCATTTCCGGTACTTTCTTAAAAAAATAACATTTATAATATCTCCTCATTATAATGTAAATCTTTCTTTTATATAAATAAAAATAGTTATCATATAAATATATTATATATATATGTATATAGATAGATCTATATTTTAAATGATAAAAACAAAGAGGCGAAAATTTATAATTTAATTATATACTAATGAATTACGAAAACAATTAAACAAAATCTTTATATCACGTCAAATAGAGAATATACATTTAATTTATGTACAAATTGATAAAGTCCCATTGTTCTTTTAAAGGGGAAAAATTTTTTTGGCCGTTTATTACAGCCTTTATAAGATTTTACTCTAACTTTTAAATAGATTATATCATTTTTTTCAAATATTGTTAGAATATTCATTAATCTGATTTTTAAAAAAAATTAAATTATACTTTTTTTTTCAACGAATGGCAATCAATGAAAAAAAATATTGAACTATAATACGAATGGCATAAAAAAGTACGTTTCACATATTTAATAAAAGAAAATTTCATACTTAAAAAATCGGGTTTTTTGTTTATGTATCTCAGATCTTAAGAAAGCTCAATTTTCATATTTAATTCACTAAGTAAAAATGTCTTTAAAAGAATAGTTCAAAAAATTTAGGTTTAAAGTACGAAAATTTTCTTTTTTCTATTCCGCTGACCTCTGATAGTTGCGTGCATTTTTACTTAATTACTTTTATGCTGATTAAATTCAGGTAATCTTATCGACCCTCACTAGGCATATGAAAATGATATCACTGTAGTAATAGTAGTGTCTGATGAATTTCCTCTTCTGCGTAGAAGTATCAATTCTTCTTGGATAGTCTTCATTACTCCATGACTTGTGAATTCTCAAAGAATCAAGAAGCGATTTCTTAAACAATCGCACAGTAGAGTTGTAGACAAACTGACCAGTTCTGAATAAACTCGTAAATAAGTTTATTTTTAAGTCATATATCGCATTACTGCACGTAAAGCGTATAATAATTCCGCCTGCATGCGAGCCTCAAGGATCATTAAATTTACATGAACCTAGAATAAGGTAAAGTATCTAATATTAAATCTGTATACTTAAATAAATACTTTCTAATTAATATACATAATCTAAATTCTATTAAGAAGATTAAGATAAAAGTATTTTTTATGTTAAATGTATGGTAGGTAAAATTTACCTTTTCACTATGTTTGAACTCTTTCATGACTCGATCATAATCTCTTTTTGTAACACGCTCTGGATAACAAACTGCACTCTTGATGAATGTTTTTAAGCTACGTTCAAGAAGCTGATTGACCTCGTTATAGTCATAATCATCATGTCTGATACCAAACATACACTGAATGTAATTCCAAATAGCTCGTCTAAATCGTGATGTATCAACTTTGTTATGTGTCCCCATAGTGTAATAGGTAAGATTGTAAGCTGTTTTAAATTTATCATCCAGTAGATTACCAACATCATTATATAGACGATTTACTAAAGAATAACCATGATCATCCCAAGAGTAGTCTTGCACTCGGAACGTCGGAATATCATTCAATTGACCTCGCTGTACAATGAATATTACGACATAAGTACATGCACTTTTGATAGAGTTACTTTAAAATTTATTCAAAATGAATAGATTGCTTACCTTGGCGAAATCTTGGTATATAAAAGTAGGATCTTCGATGAAAGGTCCAATATCAGAATCCAGCGAAAAACTACCCCTCTGCGGAGCCGCTGCCAATTCAGCAGACTGCGTTTCAACTGATTCAAATCTTTTTGACAACTCTTCTTGTGTTATCTGATACGACTCTGACTTTTCTGATAAATGTTTCATTCGTTCCATTAAAGTTTCAACTCCAACCTCTTGTTCACCAACTATACTTGGTGAAGATGGCGGTGATTGGATTTTATCTAAAATGAATATTGAAATTTAGCATTGCTCTTCTAAAGCCTATATTTTCAGATGATTGGTTTAATATTATTGAAAACTTACCAGTCTTGCCACCGCTACTAGGAATTTTTTTCGGACTACTAGATACCAGCTTGTCTTTGGCAAGTTGTACATTATTACTATTGGCTTGAATATTTTCCTTGTATTGATAACTTGTAACATTGTCAAGTTCTTCATTGATTCCGCAAGAAAATACAAATGATGATAAAGAATGAAAATGAGCTAACAAAACTATCGCATGAACCACCTCGGCAAGAGACCAACTATCTGTTCCTTTTGTGAGTTTCTGAGATAATAAATAATTTATTATTAATAAATGAATAAATAATGATTAATAATTTCTGCAAATGAATATTTACCTCTATGTGAGTTTTATTTAACAACCAGGGCCTATGTGCAAGAATTTTGTTGATTTCATATAGATTTTGTAGCTTATTTGGTATAGATCTCAGTCCTTGTAACCATGAAGGATCTCCGCCCTGCAGAAGAAACTCTCCTTTTTGCAAATTAATTATATAACTACATTGATGTCTACCAGCAGCCTGCAAAATATAAATGAAAGTTAATTTACATGGATCTAGATTTAATTATTGTAATAATAATTTAATAAAAATTGCCAAATAATAGAAAAAAAAAATGTTATAAGACATTTCATGTTCAAGATAAATAGTGCAATAAAATCTTAATGACATTTGATTGACATTATGTAAGGCTATTTAACTTCTTGGGCTTTTTAATGGATTTATTTTTATCATCAAAGACTTTGAAAAAAATATTAGAGAAAGTGTTATTATGCAAAATTGTGTACACCTACGTTATCAGTGATAATATTATTGATAACCTCGGCTTTTGCAACGAGCATAATGATTAAGTACCGTAGAGATTCGATATTCATGTCAATGAAACAAATAGCTGATTGCACAGACTACATTGCAATTTTTTTTACGTTTACTGCAGAAAAAAAAAATTTTTTTATCAGAATTTTTTTCAAAGTCCTCATTATTTTTAGATCATACGCGTGTAGTATTTATCTCTCTTATTTTTTAGAACTCTCCCTCAGCGATGCTGCAACTATTTTTAGCAACTCTTTCAGTTAGACTGTATCACTATAGAGATAACGATTCGACTTTATTAAATAAACTTCAATGAATAAACGACTTATTGATCAAATGCTACTTAGTAATCATTAATTTTTTCGTCACTCATAAGAATAGACCTGTTGAAACTTGAACTTGATATTTTTAGTACTACCGGAAATGAAACCTGCAATACTAACCATAATAGCGATCAGATGTCGATATTCAAAGGATAGTGGTCCGTCTCCTCGCAGGATAAAATGTTGTGTTTTAAGGAAGTGCTCCAAATACGTAGGATGCGATGACATTACTCGAGATATATGATCCAGTCGATTGTTCTGTAGAAAAGCATCCATTAATAACATGTGCGTCTGTAACAAAAATTTTTTAACATTAATCATGGTTGATAACAGTAACAATTATAATTTAAAAAGTTTTAATTTATAAAAATATATATAATTGTATTTTATTAAGGCTATCAACATCACACTCAAAAACCAGGCAACACATTCTGCTGTTTATCCTTTAAATTCCCTTTTTAAAAAAAAAATTATTTGACAGTTTCATCATTTAGTCACAAATATATTTCCTACATGATCTTCGTCCTAAATATTTGATTACAAGAACCGGTTCTTTTTGGAGGTCAAGAAACATTAAAGATATAAATAAATTTGCACGAAAATATTAGTGAAAATTTCTCCTGTTAAATGAAAGAGAAAGAAGAAATAAGGTTCATCGATCGGTGAAAAAAAAAATGCATAAAGGATAAAAAGTATCAATTTTTATCTTTCGATTATGTGATTACATCATGTTTATGAAGCTTGATTGTTCTAAAGTATATTGATGAGTACTTTAATTTTATTCTCATGTGAGTAATAGTTATATGAGCATCTATGGTACTAAATCAAATTTACGTGTCATTGCAGTTTACTGACGTTTAGATTATACTCTCATAAACTGTAAATTGTATACAGTTATCAATTAGCAACGCATACAGGAAAAGAAAACAAGATTACATTATGTGAAATAAAATTAATCACAAGAGTTGATATATTAAAGATAACATTCATACAAGTTTGTCGGTTATTTAAAAGTTGTATGCTTTTCAACTATAAAAATGATGATTACTGATACTTAAAAGCTTGAAGATGCAACGTTACATCAACATTATTCAAAGAAATCATTGTAATGATGAAACTTTATTTAAAAAAACAATTTTTTGCTATTTTTGCTAAAATGCTTATTTCTTCTGAATGATGATTATTTCAATTTCAAGAATTCATTGTAATAACTAATTGATCTAATTACTTAGAAAATCTGCAATTGTGTAAACATTACCATATACTGAACTTTAGAAATCATATCAAATGCTATTTGTATAAATCAAACTTAATTTACACTAACGCAAGCGCAACTATGTCATCACAAGCGGCCTTGTACATGGTCGACGAACCCCAAGCTGATTTGCTCGTTATGAATCTCCAGACTGAGTTGCGCGTTGCAAATAATTGACGGATACATCAACGAATACGACATCTATACTGACTTGAGACCTAATTATGAGTCATTTAACATAATGTAATACTTCGAAAATGATTATATATTTTATCTTATTTTTGATGATTGTTTTGGTAGGTCGTGAATTTAAGTATTTCCGTAAAACACACCAAAACTATTCAATATATATACGTTAAATATTTATTAATGGTTTTTTCAATATTTATCAATAAATAATTATTTATTGAAATGAAAAAATATTTCTTTTAAGATAAAAATTATTTATTTTCTGATATTAAATTCAAGTGAATTTTAAAATGTATTTTTTTTAAACATGAGATTTATTAATTGAGAAAAATACCCAAATAAAAAAACTTACAAATTCATATCTGTCCTTATTAAGATTACGTATTGGAAAAATAAGAATTTATCAATGTATGATAATTTTATTTTCAATGATAATCAATAAATTCAAATAAAAGATAAAGAGAAATATGAAAAACAATAAAAAATTGATAAAACGCTAGGTTAAACACCCACGATACTCTTTTTAAAATTTATCATATAATTAAATATTGAGAGAATGTGAAATTTTTACATACATTATTATAATGCCTACGTCAAACGATAAAAAAAAACACAGCATCACTAATATTGCTCAATTTATAGATACAATATTGGCATGCGTTGTTATTTAGTACTCATGATTGTTGAATAAAATGTAAGCAACGAGGCAAACAAAGCATCACAGAGATAAACTACGAGAAAAATACTCCGAAAAAATATCTTCAATAATGATATGCTTTAATTTATTATAAAATGAAAAACATGGGATAATAATGATTTAAAATATCAATTATTGAATATAGTTATATTTGACGTGCGAATTAATGATAATAGTGATCTAAATATTTAAAAATGTTCACCTTTGTGATGAAGTCATGAACAGTCAGCGCTGAAAGCTTTGATAAAAGTCTGTTTGCTTGAAATATGTCAAACAAACAACTTTATAAATTTTAATAAATCTTTAACTTCATCGTTATCAAGAATAAAATGTATAAATGAATAAATAGCAGTAAGATGCATCTAATCTATGTTTTTACTATTTTTGATTAAAACTAGATTGACTTATGTGGCTAAAAAAAATTAGAAATGAGTCAAGAAACAAGCCAAAATAATTATGACTAATAAGTATAATCAAACTATCTCTCTCATTTGTGTTTGTTCAAGATAATTCTAAAATTGAATTTAAGGTAAGTCATGGTAAAATATTCAAGGTAACCTTTTTCAACGATAAAATGTGTTTCAATGATTTAAATTATTATCAGATTTACTGCGTGTAAACGAGTGTTTTTTAACCATTATCTTAAGTAAAAAAAAAAAAGAAAAAGAAAAACAGCCAAATAAACTCTCACATGTAGACATTGAACATAAAGAAGAGGAGATGAAGAATTGGAAAAAGATCTAGTCTACGAGAACCAGATGTTATACTTGATATAATGAACACTCAATTCTAGCATTCTGTTCCTTATAACATATAGTACTTCAAACGCTAATTATAAACGAATAGAAGAAATAAACCAGTAACACATAGAAAAATAGTCAAACCGCCTTCCTTACCGATACTTCTCCAATAAGATAAAAACTTTGACCTCATTTTTATTTATTTTTTTTTCTAATCAATGATCAAATATGGGTTTGCTCTGCAATCAGATACTTGAAAAATGTGTAATCTTTTTTATCAATAAAATGAAGATGATATAAGACCATTGATGTTTTAAAGATTGATTTTTTTACTAAAGTATGAACTCAACTCTTTTTTTGCATTTGCAAGATTACTTTTTTTTTTTTAATTGACTAAATAAAAATATACCGAGTTTGAGAAAGCAAAAAAGTGATATAAAAATTAGAATAAAAATACATTTATTTTACTGTGACGCAATTTACTGACCAACCCCTGATAGTTGGTTGGATTGTGGATATGATATTTCACGACATAACATAGAAAATAGAAAAATATATAGAGGGTGGAAAAACAAAAGAAACAAAATGTATAAAGCTTCCGTGTTTAGCCAAGCATGAAGACAATAGTAATGACGATTGAATCAAATTAAAATTACGCTTCCTGCTTGAAATCTCAACTAAGTATCATGAATATGTAAATCACTAGTTTTTTTCCTGACACATCAAGTTCACCAACAAAAAACAACATTATTGTTTATTTGATACTTCCAAAACTTAATAACTACATAGATAACAATGTTTTTTCACAACTTCTTTTCAGAAAATACTTTTAAACAATCAGTATGAGTAATATATTATTATTTATTTAAAAAAACAAGTCTACCTTCGAAAAATATGAAAAAAAAATATTAACATAACAAATGGTGATTATTCAATTAAGAATTTCATAAAAAAACACAGAGTTGTACAATCATTTGTTGTCAAAATGAAAAATAACTGACGTATTTTAAACAATTTATTTTTTTTTTTAACTTGAATGATTTTTTAATGTTTTTTAGATTATTACTTTTAAAAATCCATTATTTGATAATTAAAGTAAATTAATGATTTTCTGACACGATTGTTTGGAACAACGATATTCAGTGTACTAAATAAAATATTTAAAAAACAAATCATTCTCCATACAATTCAGGTAAATTAATTTTATCTAAAATTTAATATTTATAGATTTTGCATTGTAAGGTGACTAATCACCTATAAAAACTAATTAATCAAATTTATTAGGACTTTTAAAAGCAGTTCACATCTGTCATTCATTTTGTAATTATGCAAGTCTCTTTACATTAAAGTCGTTTTTATTTTGTCTTCCTTTAGTAGTATGTAACAGAAATATTTTTTTAGTAAAATTCTATCACAAAATTCTAGACGATAAAATTAATTAAAATTCTATTGATTACATCGATCGTAATATTTTTCAAATAAAAAACAAATGTAATAAATTAAAACAAAAATGAAATTTTAAACTCTACTAATTACAACTCATAACCAGTTAATATTAAATATAATTCTTACAAGTTTTTTTCTAGTGTTTTGTAGCAAAAGTGATCAATTCTATTCAATGCCATATTTACCTCCCATCACAAATCTTAATTATTAATGAAGTATTAATCATCTTCTATCTTTTTCTTTCATCTTTTATATATTTTTCTATAAGTAATGATTACTTCTTAGTACAATCATCTATATTAATTGTTCACTATACTTGATGTGTATCTATATTAAATATACAAAGTCGTAACTTTTCATTCGCATGTGTAAAGTAGCACGAAAAAGGCGTGAGCATTTATTATAGAACGTAAGTAAAAGCTAACGAGAAGTGAAGTAGCAAAACCTCCCATGACTTGGCTGCTAAATAATAAAGGAAATTATTTATTGTCAGATAAATTTATTGATGTAGCAATCATGATAATGGCAATTAACATCCAGGTAATTTCTATTAAAAATATTTGTTGTAATACATGTAGTACTTGTCTCTATTTTTACCTCATAAATTTCCGAGTTAGAAAAGAAAGGAAAATAAAGGAAAAAATTATTTGGAATATTTTTAAAATAAGTAGTCATTTTTAAAATAGAAATTTTCTAGAAGATTCGAGTTGGTGTATCGACATGCATGCATTGGCTTCGTTACCGATAAATAAAAAAATAATTAGAGTTTAGTGACATCCGATAAAAAACAGAACACAGCATATCAAGACTTCAATAGCTATAATTATACTTAAAGAGAAAGTGAAGAATTGAGTATACGTGTTAATTGAAAATTTTTTAGCATCTGTATAAAAAGTATGTACTTTATTATCATTACCATCATCATCAATTTGAAATCATATTAATTAATATAATTTTATTTCGT